CCCCCCCCGGGGTGAGAAGGGCGGGGTATAAATAAATGAAATAAATAAATAAATAAATAAAACAATGACAACGTGACACAATTAAAAACCTAGGGCCGGGCCAAATGTAATGGACAAAAATTTAAAAGTGCTGAGCCTGACAGGTAATATATAGAGCTATTTGGCGGTAGGTGCAATGTGAAGATAATCCTGAATCTCTAACAAAGTGCGTTTGGGACTTGAAGCCAGGAGTTTCCTATTCTGGGAAGGCACACTGGAACAGCCAGGTCTTCAGGCTCTTCCTAAAGACAGCCAACGTTGGGGCCTGTCTGATGTCCTTAGGGAGAGAGTTCCAGAGTTGGAGGGCCACTAGAGAAGGCCCTGTCCCTTGTCCCCACCAAATGCACCTGCGATGCAGGTGGGAGCGTGAGCAGGGCCTCTCCGGATGATTGGAGGGAGCGTGCGGGTTCGTAACCTCTTTTAATATAATAATAATTATAACCTTTCCAGAGTCAGGGGGCCACTACTGAGAAGGTCCTGTCCCTCGTCCCCACCAAACACACCCGCTACGCAGGTGGGATCGTAAGCAGGGCCTCCAGATGATTGGAGGGAGCATGCGGGTTCCTAACCTTTTTTAATATAATAATAATTATAACCTCTTTTAATATTATTATTATATAACCTCTTTTAACCTATTTTAGGAGAACAAAGATGAGTTAATATATATTATTATTCACAATAATAATGTCAATGGCAGTTAGAGATCATAAACACTTTCCTAACAACCTACTCCGACGACGGATCACTCAGAACTGAGGGAAAACAGCAGCGCTTCACTCTCTTTTATAGATTCCGACGACTCCCGACATGCAACGCCCTGCGTTCGAAGAGTTCTAATCCTCGCTTTGCATCCTAGGAACTGTAGTCCTGCTCACTGTAGTCCTGCTGTTATGCAAAACACAGAACGGAGGGAATAAACAGAGGGGGCGGGGCCAGGGGAGGGGCGTGTCCTTGGGAGAGAGCCGTGTGGCGGAAGTGCTGCTCGCGCGCGCCGCTCGAGCAGGTGAGCCGTTGCTTCTCTCTCTCTCTCTCTCTCTCTCTCCCCCTCCCCTTTATTGGTCAGGCGAGGAGGGCGGGATTAAAGGGGAAATGATTGACGTGTGAGCCCCCTCAGTTGCCTCCAGTTCATATCAGTCTCCAGTCTATAAGAGGCCCAGGGATAAAAGTTCACAGGTATACTGTGGAATGAATACGATTTGACACTACTTCAACTGCTCAGGCTCAGTGCTGTGTGGACACTGGAGTTTGGCCTTCTCTGCCAAAGAGTGTTGTTGCCTCACCAAACCACAACTCCCACTATACCATAAGAGTTGACCCATGGCAGTTAAAGTGCATTAATTCTACTGTGTAAATGCACCCCACTTTTTACATATAGGGTGTTCCCCCCCAAAAAGTGATATACCCTTTAACAGCTAGTAAAAAGTGATATACCCTTTAACAGCTAGTAATTGATATAGTGGTTACTTGAAGCTTAAGGAAATACTTTGATATAGAACAGGCCTGGACAAACTTGGACCCTCCAGATGTTTTGGACTTCAAATCCCACCATTCCTAACTGTCTTGGGCCCTTTCCTTTTCCCCCTCAGCCGCTTAAGCCATTCCTAACTGCCTTGGGCCCTTTCCTTTTCCCTCTCAGCCGCTTAAGCCATTCCTAACTGCCTTGGGCCCTTTCCTTTCCCCCCTCAGCCGCTTAAGCCATTCCTAACTGCCTCGGGCCCTTTCCTTTTCCCCCTCAGCCGCTTAAGCCATTCCTAACTGCCTCGGGCCCTTTCCTTTCCCCCCTCAGCCGCTTAAGCCATTCCTAACTGCCTCAGGCCCTTTCCTTTTCCCCCTCAGCCGCTTAAGCCATTCCTAACTGCCTCGGGCCCTTTCCTTTTCCCCCTCAGCCGCTTAAGCCATTCCTAAAGCGGCTGAGGGGGAAAAGGAAAGGGCCCGAGGCAGTTAGGAATGGTGGGATTTGAAGTCCAAAACACCTGGAGGGCCCAAGTTTGCCCAAGACTAATTTAAAGAATACATATTGTAGTAATGATTTACTCAGAGCTGCAAGTTTCCATCTGAAACTACAATTTTGCTTGCAATTAGTGTTGTCTCTGGGCAGCAATGCACTGCTGATATTGTCAAAGCACAGGGTGCAAGCCTCACTTCAAGATTTATCTGGTAATTGCAGCAATTTCTCTATTATTGGTATCTTTGATCCTCAAAATCTGCTAGAGTTTGTAACCCCAAATTTGTGGATGCTCAGGTTAAATGCAACAACATAGTAAAATGATGTCAAGCTTTGCTTTTTATAGATATAATATTTTCAAGCTGTAGATCAGGGGTTCTCAAACTTTTTAAACAGAGGGCCAGGTCACAGTCCCTCAAACTGTTGGAGGGCCGATTATAATTTTAAAAAAACATGAACAAATTCCTATACACACTGCACATATCTTATTTGTAGTTCAAAAACACTTTAAAACAATACAATAATTAAAATGAAGAACAATTTTAATAAATATAAACTTACAAGTATTTCAATGGGAAATGTGGGCCTGCTTTTGGCTGATGAGATAGAATTGTTGTTGTCATCATTGTGTGTTTTCAAGTCATTTCAGACTTAGATTGACCCTGAGCGAGGGCCGGGTAAATGACCTTGGAGGGCCATATCCGGCCCCCAGGCCATAGTTTGAGGACCCCTGCTGTAGATGGTTGAATTCGTGGATGCTGAATCTGTGGGTGTAAAGGGCCAACATTTTTGTGGAAAGAAACGAGAAAAAAATCTATAATTATAAGCTCTTGAGTGTATACGGTTTACAGAACATGTATTTGAAGAGAGACAGAAGTCTAATCAGTGGAGACCCATCTGCACTTCCATATAATCCAGTTTCTGTATCCAGATTATCTACTTTGAATTGGATTATATGGCAATGTGTAGACTCGTTAATATCCTGTTCAAAGCAGATAATCTGGATATAGAAACTGGATTATATGGCAGTGTAGATGGGGCCTCCACTGAGTCTACACCAGGGGTCCTCAAACTTTTTAAACAGAGGGCCAGGTCACAGTCCCTCAAACTGTTGGAGGGCCGGATTATAATTTGGAAAAAAAAACATGAATGAATTCCTATGCACACTGCACATCTTATTTGTAGTGCAAAAAATACTTTAAAACAATACAATAATTAAAATGGAGAACTATTTTAACAAATATAAACTTATTAGTATTTAAATGGGAAGTGTGGGCCTGCTTTTGCCTGATGAGATAGGATTGTTGTTGTTGTTATTGTGTGCTTTCAAGTCATTTCAGACTTAGGTTGATCCTGAGCAAGGGCCCGGTAAATGACCTTGGAGGGACGTGTCTGGCCCCCGGGCCTTAATTTGAGGACCCCTGGTCTACACACTACCATATAATCCATGTTATGTTTTTCACACAGAACAAATCCAAACTGGAAATGTCCCAAACTAGGATAACATGTTTTTCTTTTAGAAAAGGGTGCACTACTTCTAATCCCAGTTATTCAGAAAGCCATGGTTTCTCCATGGTTTTCTCTGGAATGCTTTGCATCTGGGGCTGTGGTTATTATGGCTGGATGTGAAAATGGGAAACTAGTTTTTTCCCTTATAATGATCAGACCCCCCCCCCCTCCACCCCAAATCTTCTTTCAGTGTGGACAGCCAGGGGTCAGATTGGTTATGAAAAACCGAGTGGAGAGGATTGTCAAACTATCTTTTTTAAGAAGGAAAAACACAAATAAGATTTAGCATTACTTTTAGGACTAACGTACATTTATTTTTTAACCTTCAGTTGACTTTATCCGATGCAGTAAAGTAAAATCTTCCCAGTAGTGCTACTAATTTTAATAGCTATAAAAACGTACCCTGCATGTGCTGAGATGTTCTTCTATGATCTATTTATATGCTCTTCCGTCTGAACATATATAACTAATATTAAAATATTGAGGAACCCAGGGAATCTACAATTACAGTATCAGTTGAAAATATCTCTTGTGAGTCTAGCTTGTCCTAAAAGGAAGTTTGTTTTCAGATGTTTGTCAAGGATCAGCCAGAAACCACTGAACAAACTCTCCACCTTTGTGAATTTATTTAAGTAGTTCAAAACAGCTAGCTATATTCTTTTGTACACTTGTAAGTCATGCTATTGCAATAGAAACCCTGAGGTGCAAGTATAATGCAAAAGAAAAATGGCAATAGGAAATAGTAAAGATCCAAAAACAGCACCGTCAGGAAGAATAGATGAGTATCAACCTGCCTGGGAGCTCCAGAAGTATTAAAGAAAGTGGTTGAAAGGTGAAGTAATTTTGGATGAAAAAAAAAAAGAATTGGTAAGATTGTACTGTATGATTGTATAGACATATGGAGGAAGGAGGAAGTAGAGTTTGTATCTCCAAATAGAGGTCGGTTCAACAAAGTTGTCTCCTAGGGACATAAGACAGAGGGACCTTTCACACTAAATAATTACAGCAATATCTTTGCAGACTTTGCCCTGATGACCAAACTGATATGAATTTCAAAAGACAAACCAAACAGGGTTTTGAAGATTAAGTCAAATATTGAGATAATAAGGTATAATAAAAGAAGTTGTTTAACATGTGAAGTTAGCAGGATGACAATATTTTCATTGTGCGTGTTTAGACTAGGAAGTTCATTTTGATTTTTGATTTTACATAGGATTATTATTTTTATTTTATGTATGACTATGATTATTATTTTTAGGTGGTGGAGGGTGGGAAAGTTAGTGTTGCACCCTAGAGCAGGAACAGGGCCCTCTAATCATTAATCACACCACACCTTGAATGTAGGAAGAGTCCTTTTTTATTTAAGAATAACTGGAGCCAATAAAAGAGATGATTATAAAATAGGTAGAAGTCCAAAAGCAAATAAGCCAAATAGAGCAGCAATATAAGCAGTGTCCAAACATAGGAATAATAACCATGTCCAAAAGCTTGCAGAAATAATCCAAATGCAGTGAATAACCAAAAGCCTTCAATAGAAAACCATGAACAGACTAGCCTTCTAATCCACTTGAAAAGCTAGTTATGTCCTTAGAGACGAGGCCACTTGAAACAGGAATTTCCAGGAGACTTGAGCTTGATTCCAAACAATGCCTGAAGAAGATTCTCTAAGGGCCCAATTTAAGTCCCAAAAACTTGTTTCTACTCCCCCCAGTTTTTGGCCTTAACTGCCGAATTCTTTCTGACCTGCGTAAACATTGGGCCTCTCGATGGTTCTGGCTGATTTCCAGACAGCGACTGGTCTTATCTATCTCCTCATTAACTCTACCAGGTGTCAAGCTATCTTGCAAACACGAGCCTGGAGAAGGGAGTAAACTTTCTTCCCTTGCTCTGACAGAAACTTTCTCATGAGAACTTAGCCTTTCCCCTGACCCCTCTTGATCAGTGTCTGCAGTAACATTATTGTCCAAAGTGTCTCCATTTTGCACCTCATCCTCATTGATCAAATCAGACCCAGAAACATTAGGAGGGGAAAACACAATCACAGATTCAGTCTCAAAACACCGGCTGAGTCTCAACAGTTAGTTTTAATGCATGTATTGGTGGTACAAGTGATGTATTGCAATTTTTGTAATTTTATGAATTGTATAATTATACTTATACTGCTGACAAAATAAATATATATATTAAAATTATTTAAAAATAAAACAAAAGACAAATCAGTTGAAGGCTTTCTGAAAGGCTGGAAACTATTAATGGACTTTTTGAGCCGTAAGAAATCTAATGATGTAATAATCTATAGTTATGGTTACTAGTAAATTGAATTTAGTTAGATCTGTAATGGTACATTAATATATTTTTACCGGTTTCTCTCCCCCCCCCCCCCCCCGGCACATCATTTTGTGTAGGGAGGACTGAGAGGATTCAGAGTTCTTTTGTGTTCTGGTTAGCGATTAGTTAGGTTGTATTTATTGTAAAATATTTCTCTGGAAGTGTTTGTGGACCTCTCTAGGTCATCCAGTGCAATCCTATGGCATTCTTCCAGCACATTCTTTCCGGTCCTTTAGTGCTCTTCTATGGTATGCTTCCAGCCCAATTATAGTCAAAATTTAGGGTTCGCTATTATCCACACTTTCAGGTATCCACTGTGGAGTGTATCCCCAGCAAATATGGTGTCATACTGTATACAGTATATGTATAGTGCTTTTCTTTTTCTCCTTTTCTCTCTGAATATTGATTATTCTGCAGTGAATTATTCTGCATTAAAAATAAATAAATATCAAATCTTTTAAAAAAACAACAACCAATTATTGCAATATGATTCCACTATCACAATTCATTCTTATGGAATCTAAGAATTGTACTTGAGAGAAGCACATATGCTACATTTATACTGCCATATAATGCAGTTTTCACTTCATTATATGATGAATGTGTAGACTGCATTATAATGCAGGTCAGTTCATTTCAAACTGCATTATATGGCAGTGTAGACCCAGCCTTAGAATTCATTCATCGCCAGAGAACTCTAGTGCCCCTCCCAACTATAAAGCATGTGATGTCCCTGTGGCAATTAAACTGGAATACAGTCCTGCAATTGTGTAGTGAAGCACCCAGAATCAGACTACAGGGTTGGAGTGTGAGGGAGAGACGTTAGATGATTGGAGGTGAAAGGTAGGATGAAATGAAGGGAGGAGATGAGGGTGAAGTTCCATATGTAAAATAATTGAAATGCTCTTATGAGGGCACAAAACATCTTTTAAATGTAAGGGAGTAATTTCATACTCTTTAGCACGGAATAAGAGCTGACGGTATTCAGCAGCCATGGTAAATTATCAAATGACAAATGTAAAACTGTAAAGGTACAAGAATATGGTGGAACGGTTTGGAAGAGTGTAGCTAATTAGTACCTAGAACTAGTGTTAATCTGTCTCATTTACAATAATACTTCAGTAACAGAAAACAGCATTATTGGCTATTCCCCCTCCCCCACAATACTTTCATCTGTAGTGTGAAGGTCTATATTGATCTCTGAGACATCTTTAACATCTGCATTTTGAAATGGTACTCCCTTTTGTGATGGAAGGAAGAAAGGAGAATGGCTTGCATATATCTGAAGTAAGAACCAAATAAGAGAGCCAGTGTGATGTAGTGATTTGAATGTTGGAATTGGACCCCATTTATACTGTCATATAATGCAGTCTGAACCTGCATAAAATGGTCAGTGTAGGCTCATAAAATGCACTTTAACTGCATTATATGGCAGTGTAGATAGGACCTCTGACTCTAGGAGACAAGGGTTCAAATCCCTATTCAGCTATGGAAACCCACTCTGTGACCTTAGGCAAGTCATGCTCTCTCAGCACCAGAAGCAATAGCAACCTTTCCTTCCCATCCAAATCCTCCCAAGAAAACCTTATGAGATTGTCAGCCTAAGTCAGAAACAATACACATTAAACTTTCACATTAAATAACTTTAAAGGTTTATACATGTCTATAAATTAAGAATATAAGTGAACAGAGATTCACAGTTCTCACTTCTAGTATATACAGATCTTATACATTCAACTCGTTTGTCTACATAGTCCAGTATTTGCTAATTTTGATTTACAGTGGCTCGCTCAAGCCTCAGAAATGGGTGTTTTGGAGCCATGTTAATCTTTAACTGGAAATGCTGTGGGGCCACTTCATGCAAAGATATTGCAACCTTTCTTAGATCTAAAATGGTCTTCCAAGCCATCAGTGCTTTTATATCCAGTTAGAAGAGTAAATTTTTGTGAAGTTCTATATTAGAATATTTTTATTGTTTCTCTCATCTTTATTTCAGATTGAATAATGGAATATTGGGTGAAGATGCACAGAAGATGGCTAAAATCTGAAATGTTAATCTGAAATAATATGTGAATTGCATAATATTGCACTGAAGATGTAGGGTACTTTCTGGAAAAATGCTAGCTCCCTTACTTTGCTGTCCAACAGGAATATTTATTGCTTTTAAACCACTGTACCCATGAAGCACTGAAGTGCCCTGAAGAATTTAATATATTGTACAGTTGACTTATGGCGTTTTGGAGGAAAGCCACACTTTCTCGCATTGAAAATCCTTGTTTCCTAATTTTCTTGATAATCTTTCAAGCAATATTTATCTTGCTACTGTACAGAGGCAGCTCTTCAGTTGTGCTTCAGGATCATTTAGATATACCTAACCAAGTGGACTATTCAAAAACACAAGATGTATACACAAATCTCAGTTTGTATGCCCCTGTTCCTGATAAAGCAACTATGAGGTACTGCACATCCGATACTGTGATGAATGGTATGTATAACATTAAATTGTTGAAGTTCAGAGTAAAAAAAAAATACCCTCTTTTCTTTCACAGTTTTAGGGTCACGAGTTGATCTGGATTAGTTCAACAGATTAATTATTTGACTAAGATGTGGAAACCATACAGATGTTATGGGCACTACAGCAGGTTATGTCTATCAATGGAGGTTGGATGAAGGCAGTTTCCTCTTCTCTTCAATTTCCCGTATCTTAAAATCCTGATATTGAAGGCTGGGAATTTTCCGGTGCAAGGGAGCAAGGAGAGGATGAAAAGCCAGCTGCCACTTTAGGAGTATCATTAGATGTATGCCTTAGTAATATATAGATATGTGATCTTTTTGTGCTGGGACATGCCCCAGTTGTACTGATGTGCTGAAGCAAGCTCAGTATCCGTTACTAGCATTGGAAAAATGGATGGAAATTGAGAACTTTTTGTCTGGTTTTTATAAAAGAAAAGCCACCTGTTGCTTTTCCAGTGATGGGATTTCAAAATATATTTCCACCCAGTGTCTCTAGCCATTGGAAAATATTTGCATTTCTCTTCTGTATTTTGAGTCAATAGGCAACAAGCATACATTCTGATGACCATCTCTGCTACTTTGTGGTTTTGTCTTCTTATGTGTTACATTTCATGTGGTGAAATCTGAGTTACTGCATGAGACATAGAGTTGAAACTGGATAACCTGTTAATGGAGCAAATAGTTCTTGCCTTAGGCTAGTTGACAAGCTGTTCAGGATGAATTAATGAGACATTATTTTATAGATATTGTTTTTCCCCATCAGCCAAATTAGAAAACTTAAAAACCTAAAATATTGTAAGCACAGTCAAAGATAGATCAGACACTATCCTTTAAGTGTATTTACGCGAGACTGCTGGTTTGTAAGTAATATTTTTGAGACATTTCTGTATTATAGCAATGTTTTGTAGATAATAATACTTTACAGTATTTAGAATACAGTATTTAGAATACAAAAATTGTGGGTTTAGTGAAGGTTCAGGTGCAACTGAAGGAAGAACAAGAAATAAAATTATTATTTCTTGTCTATAACACAGTTTGGACTGTTTGTAGAACTTCAAAAGACAACTTATATCAGGAGCAGTTTTAGTTTTGTAGAACTGCAGCATCAGTAAATAACTGATTAAAATGCTACCAAGAAGAACAAAGAACAATGTCCACAATACTTTATTGAGGAAGTGGGAGTAATATGGACATTTTTAAAACTACTTAGCCAGAGCTAGGAATTGAGCATTATCAAGCCTTATTCAGCTACTTTTTGTATTATCAAAAAGAGCTTGTCTTGGCAACAATGATAAAACACCCAATTTTTTAAATTTGGGCTTATGTTCTCTGCCTTGATTAGAATGGTGTCCTAGCTAGCTCTTGCTATGAAGTATCATCTAAAGAACTATTAAGAAATGTAAAGCAAATGTTTTAAGGGTATTTAAGTAATAAGTGAAGTAAGAGCCACAAACATCTGTTAAGGTTGCAATCCTATAGATGCAAAATCATACTGGTGCCACACTGATTTATGACAAATGAACCAACCTTATATAAATTAGAGTTCTTAAGAAATAATGCTTCAATTAGACTTAACAATTCAAAACTAAAATGTTCATTATACCACTTGAACTATGGAAGTTATAGAAATTTCATAATCTTAAAATTCAGACGTAAAGTTGCTTAAGTAATAATTTAGAATCTGATTTATATAGTTCAGAAATGGAAAATAGAAACTGACTTGACTTCAGTGGTAATATTAAATATGCCTGTTAGTCATCTTCATCCCTTAATTTTATCCTCTTTAAATATTTTAAATTTCCTTCTCCTTTGATGTTATTGGAATTTTCAGTATTTTTTAATATGTCCTAATTATCTGGTATATAAATTTTTTGAAGGAGAATGCCATATTATTTGTGTTGGTTTTGCTCTTCATTGCCAGCCCATGGTACTTTGTCTTACATGTATAAAAGAAATAACAAAGATCTGTTTCATTATGCAGTGGCAATCCATAGACTTGCTTGAGTTGCATGAATCATTGATTTCCTCCATATAAATCTAAACCATGGGGGATACTTTGATATGCAGTACCCCTTTTAGCTCTAAACTCTTTAACTCTAACCAGCACATATTTGCAATGACCTTTCTCTGCTGGTGGAATGTCATGTTCATCTACATGCTGGCCCAGCAGTTGGCATAGCCCTATTATAAGCAGGATCAATCTATCAGAATAGTAAGTAGTTGGTCAATGTATAGCTTTGTTCTAACCTCTGATGTCAAGGCTTTTGTTTGTGAAAATGGAACATTTTTAATTTTAAAATGTTAATTGAAGTGCTGTGACTTGAGTGACCCTGGGAAGCTGCACTGTATACTTAATAGCATTTTCTATGTAGAAATGAATTAAGGATTGATTCCACGGTTTCATTTTTCCTCGTTGAAGGAATAAGAAACATGATGCAATTGAAGATTCATATAAAGTTGATTAGCTTCTTTATGATGCCTGCTCCATGTAGATTTTACATCCTGTCATAACCACCAGATGGAACATTTACAGGAATTATCCTCTTGGATTATGTTCCCTTTCTTTCTCTGTTGTGATTGCAATGTGGTCAGAATAATTTGTTTCCATTTAAGACTAGCTGCACCTTGATGTGTGTCCAAACCTGGACAAACTGTGGTTTAGTTGATTTACCAACTTGCGATCACAGTTTACAAAGGTAGGCGGATATCTTGTTGGTTACTACCAATTACAGTAGGCATATTGAATCAACTGTAGAATATCAAGTCAACACAGAGATTAATCTCATTGCTGGGGACTAAGAATATGATTCAAGCCATTGACATTAAACGCTTCCAGAGGAATTAAATAAGGTGCATGAGAGCTCAAGGCTTATATACCATCCTTTTATTGTAAAACATGGCTTTTAGTAGTACTGTCTGCTAGAAAAATTGTTATAATAAATAAATAAACAATAAATAAATAATAATAAACGTTATTTAGATCCCGCCACCATCTTCCAAAAGGGACTCGGAACAGCTTACAAGGCACACCAAATGCAGTATATAACATAAAATGATACATGAGTATATAACAATCTATATAAATAAAAATGTAATGTTTGTTTGTGGGATTAACATAAATCAAAAACCACTGGACGAATTGGCACCAAATTTGGCCACAATACACATATCAGGCCACCAAGTAACCATCACTCATAAAAACACTGAAAAACACAGCAGAAGAGACTTAAAAGGCAAAAAAACAAAAACAAAAGATACATTACAGCGCATGTGCCACACGTATACACACTTATACACAAATATATACACACACATATATACGCATATATACATACACAAAACACATATACACAGACTGGACCACAGCAATGTGTGGCAGGGGGACAGCTAGTTATATAAATAAAAATGTAATGTTCGTTTGTGGGATTAACAGAACTCAAACACAACTGGACGAATTGACACCAAATTTGGCAGCAAAACACATTCTAATCCAATCTATGTCTTTCAAACAAAAAAACCTTTAAAAAATGAAGGGGAAATAAGTTAAAACTCCCTAAAAAGAAAAATGCCTTACAGAGCCTGCGCAAAAGCCCCTCTCACCATCATGTGAGAAGAATGAAGCGCCAACCATTGTGAGGAAAGAGAATGTTTGTTCGTGGGATTAACATAACTCAAAAACCACTGGATGAATTGACACCAAATTTGGACACAATACACCTTCCAAGCTAACAAGTGACCATCACTCATAAAAACACTGAAAAACATGACAGAAGGGACTTAAAGGGCCAAAAAAGCAAAAAGACGCTACAGTGGATGTGTAAAAACAACTCCCCCTGGCAAACGAAACACACAAAAGCATAGCCACACTCTTGGACTACAACTCCCAGCATCGCCTAGACCAGGCCCTTTAGGAGAGGAGGATGACCCCAATCCAAGCTGCAAGCTTTCTTCTCTTTGGATTTCTCTGAGAATATCCCAATCCCTGCATATTTCCCATTTCCTATTCCTGGACTGCAACTCCCAGCAATCCTCCAGATAGATTAGATAGATAGATAGATAGATAGATAGATAGATAGATAGATAGATTCGATAGAGATAGGTAGGTAGATAGATTGATCAGGAGGAAAGCTGGGAGTTGCAGTCCAAGAACAGGCAGAGAAGGAAGAAAGGGGAAGGGAAGAAGGAAGGAAGGAAGGAAGGAAGGAAGGAAGGAAGGAAGGAAGGAAGGAAGGAAGGAAGGAAGGAAGGAAGGAAGGAAGGGGAAAAAAGGAAGGAGAGAAAGAGGGAGGGAAGGTTGGCCACAGCAACATGTGGTGGGTACAGCTAGTATCACATGAAAATTATAAAAGAACCACTATCAACACATAAAATAAAATTACACAATTTAAATACATAGACCATCTGTAGTTAAAACTGCCATCCATTCAACAATTATATCTGACTCCTCTCCAAATTGCCACCATCCAGATTTGGGGAATTATTTCTCCTATTGACTGTAAACACTGATCATGAAGATTGTATTTCACAGTAGTCTTCTCTCACTCACACACAAACTTGTCTTCTACAGTTGGACCCTTGACTATCACCTTTGACGTCCTACCCAGTGAAAGAACAATAATTGACAAAAACCCATATATCCAGTCAGGTGGCTGCTATAGCCCTCCTCATTGCCTAGCCAGTTACAAAACTGCTGTCATCGTACCCCACAGGAATCGCGAGAGGCAGTTGCGCCACTTTCTCTATTACCTTCATCCCTTCCTCCAGCGTCAGCAGCTTTACTATTGTATCTACTTGATCCATCAGGTAAGCCCAGCCAAAGGCATGTTTGAAGTCCCTAGTTCAGCTCACATGTATATGTAAATGAATTATACTAACACAGACATATGTACTTGTAATACAGTATACTGAGATTGTCTACAATATTCATAGTAAGAGCTTTATATGAAAATTCCTCTAGAGAGATGAAATTTCAAGGACGAAAGAGCTTTCCTAATTTTATGTGGGTTATCTTTTAATCAGTCATGCTGTTTTTTGTGCCAGACGATTACCATGGATCCTTTTGGGAAAGAAGCACTCCATTCATGTAGTTTCTTGATGATTTTTTAAAATAATTATTGGTAACCAAGGGAAAGTGTTAAAGGGGATGCTTGTTAGGAAGGAAGTATTTTTGTGTCATTCAGCCTTGTTTTTTACAGCTATGAATCAAACAAGTGTCCCAAAATTTTCAATTCTATTCTTCACTTTAGAACAATGTAATAAAAATCCTGAAGATGTCAGGAAACTTGGTCCAGGGCATGATTATTCTCTGTTTCTTCTGTCCCGTATTCACTTTGCATTATCTGTTTTCAGGATCTTACTATTTAATTCATTTGTTATTCTGTACTTCTCATTCAGTCCCCCTTTTCTCATGAATGGACCTCTTCCCAGTGTTCAGCCTGTTTTGTTTGAAGTGTTAATTCCAACCAATGATAATACTAGGTCTTCCCACACATATTGGGCAGCGAAAGGTCTAATTTCCTTTTTAAAAAACCCATTATATGATTCAACTAATCACATCATTATCTTCTGTATCAAAAGGGTGATACAATTTGCATTTTGTGAGTATACATTGCCTTATCACTTTCTTCATTTGGTCTGTGACTGAATTGCATGCTCTCTTGCCAGACTGGAAGTGGTCCATTTAACCGAGCAAAGCTCCTTAACGTTGGAGTCCGTGAGGCCCTGAAGGATGATGACTGGGACTGCCTGCTTCTGCACAATGTGGATCTCATTCCAGAGAATGATTATAATGTTTATATCTGTGAGGAATATTACCCCAAACTCATGTCTTCTGCCATTGACGTGTTAGATTACAGGTAATTTCAGTTTTATTATATTGAGAACTTTCAGTAAGATTAGAGCAAATATTGTCATGTAAATCAGTGCTTCTAGAGAATTAAAAAGAGCCAAGAGAGAAGATTTCTTTCTCTGTTTTTTTAGAACTGAATAGTTAATATAAACAGTAAAGAATGGATGCATTATTTTATATGCCCTGCTGTGTGTGCAATTCCTATTATCTGTTTCTGATTTTAAATGAGTAGGAATTTAATGAGTAGGAATTGGTACCAAAATTAGAAATATTAATGTTGTGAGGAGGGAGGATACAGTTAATGCAAACAGAAAATCCAAGTAGTTATGGTAAAATTAAAGCTAGCTAAATCTTCATTAACAAATGCAAAAGTACTGATGCAAAGAATTAAGTGCTGAAACTATTGATTAAGATGATGGAGGGTGAGAAACTTTATTTCTTAATAAATTGTGGGTTTGCTGCCTATACATTTCCCTTTTGTCAGCAAGTATACAGACTTCTGTCTAACAAAAAATAACCTATCTGAAAAGTTGTTACATGTGCAGCTTCTATTTGACACTTTTGAGTTGCAATCTTATACACGCTGTCTTATGTTAAGTTCTCAGTATAGATATGTTTATAGGCATTTATTGCATATTGTCCTGATAAATGCCCAGTTTGCTTCTACGGAGTTAGATTTATCTTCATAGAGGGCCAAATCCAACTTGAGTCCTTTTTGGAGAAGACCCACATAACTCAATGAGAAGTTAATTTAGTTGTGACTGACAAAAGCCATTAATTTAAGTAAGACATGTATTAGATTTAGTCTAGAGACATGTATTGTTGTACTTTCAGCAAAATATTCTTAGCTTTTCCTTTTTCAAGAAATACTTGTTGCAAAGAAAAGCTAGTTCCCTTGTAATGATAATTAAAAATCAGTACCAGTTCTAGGTCAGAAGAAGGCAAAGGAAAACCCCTTCTGAACAAATCTTGCCAAGATAGTTTTGCCTTTGGGTCACCATTAGCTGGAAATGACTTGCAGACACACAACAGCAACAACCAGATGTGTTGGCCATGTTCTAGAAGAAAAACCTACAACAACCCAACAACCAGATGCCTTTTATCTTTTACAACTGTATCCAAAATTGCTCTTTCGATAATTTCTTAAATAATTTTATTTTTTGGAATATGACTTTCAAAACAATTAGCATGCCTCACCTCTATGAAAATACTGTGAAATTATTTCACTTCCCTAAATTTTTGTCCAAGGTATTTACCTCAATGTCTGGATAATATTTTGTAATGCTGTACTGAAAACCTATGTAGTTGTTGCTCAGCACTTTGAAATTAAATGTAATTAATCAGGTCTCATTTCTGTTTATCCAAATAGGACTTACTTACTTCCACCTTGACTATATATAAGAGCATAGCCTTAGAATTGGGATGCAGCAACATTGAAATGTGATAGATGAACCCATGAACTTTTTCATAAGCAAATATACATACAGTCCTTTCTACTTTGATATGAATGCTAAATATTCATTAAATTTTTGTTTATGCTGCATGTGGAACTAAAGAAAAAGATGTTACTCTAGCATTTTATAGCCATTTGAAGGCAAATCCGTGAGATCTTTTGTTTTAATCTATGTTTGTATACTGCCTTGAATTTATTTTTCTGTATAGCTTGCCCTACTGGTCCTTTTTTGGTGGTGTGACTGCTTTAACGCCAGAACATTACATGAAGATTAATGGATTTCCAAACACTTACTGGGATCGAGATGGTGAAAATGATGACATTGCTAAAAGGTATGATTGACAGAGTCATTGAAAAAAAAGATGGAAATGTACACCAGCTCCAATTTGCCAGTTTTATTTTCCCAGGCACTCTCTTTTTAAATGATACCTTTCAAAGACAGTTATTAAACCCCAGGAGATATGCAGGTTGAGTACCTAAATTTCAACATAAAATTCATTTGAGTTTCACATATACCTTATACACATAGCTTAAAAGTAATTTTATATGTAGTACGTTTAATAATTTTGTCCATGAAACAAAGTTGGTGTACATGGAACCACCAAAAAGTAGTACCATGTGGAGTATTTTGGATTGTGTAGCTTTTTGAATTTCTGGATAACAGACACTCAATCTGTACAAGTTTTGGACTGGTTTGTTTACACCTAGAATATTAAGAATAAGCCAAACTGCTGCCTTCACCACCTCTACTCAGCTGCTGCTTTTACCAGTTGAGGTGGGCCTCTCCTCCCTTTTTATAAGCTTAGGCATCCTTTAAGGAAGAGCAACAGGACTATCTGCTTTAGGAGCATGCCGGTGTCATTTGTATGCTCTAGAGCCTTAATTGCTGCAGTAGGAACAAGATTACATTACATTCTTTCTAGCAAACTCCCCAAAATGTCTATCTGCAACCACAGTATCAAGCTGTATTATAGCCACTTTCAGGAAGACCAGGTAGCCGGTTCCTCACTGATTGCAGCTTGGAAAGGGGCAAAGACAAACTTGGGCATTTTTAATGATTTGTGACCTGTTCTGGAAGCTTTCCTACCTGACAAGTGAGGTGAAATGCTTTATATAAAGTATGAAGGAGTGTTACAGTAGAAATAATATACCAACAATATATCCTTTAGAGCTGAAGCCCTATTCAACATGAGTTCTGAAAGCATTCAGTTCCTTCCTGTATGCTGTGGTAGATGGTGAGATTGAGCAGTCTTCCGCAGAGCATACACAAGGCCTATCATTCACTTTTCCCAAGGTTTTCTACACAGGAACATTTTGAGTTGAAGGAGCATCTTGTGGTACTATGTTGTGGTCTATAATATTGCACAACTGTCGGAAAATGAGGCTTGCTCAATTTAATTTCACCCATCCTGTATGAACAAATTAGCCAAACCGAATTCTGTATGGTCCTGCTGTGCTGAAAATGTATTACTTTAGAAAGCTGGAAAGGGAATTGTATATACTGAATTGTTGCACTGTACTTTATCTTGGTTAAAGTGTTTTCTGATTAACAAGAACACTTGTGTGTGTGACACATTGTCCTTAAGCTCTGAAATAACATTTTCCATTATGTCTTCTTTTCAAAAGGATACAAATTGTAGGGATGAAAATAGTTCGGACGCCACTTGTTATTGGAAGATATAAAACGGTGGATGGTAAACAACCTTCTGATCATCCACAGGAAATTATAAGGTGACTACAGGTTTTTCTTTGATCCTGTGCCTTTCTCCTCCCTGTAGAAAGGCTAATCAGACATGGGGCACTAGTATGAAATCGTCCTTGGATCAGTATATAATCCTAGATCAGAGGTGTCAACCTTGTGGTCATCCAGATGTTTGGGTCCCCAACCCCCAGAAGCCCTAGTCCACTTGTCCAATGGCAAGGAATTCTAGGAGCTGAAGTCCAAAACGCCTGTGACACCACTGTTCTAGATGATACAAGCAGGATCCTTCACATTTCCAATACAGTGCATATCTGACAAATTGCCTGCAAAATGTGGTTTGTGTTTAAACTGGAAGTGTTGCAAACAAAAAGCCTGTGATACCTGGCAAATGCATGAGAAACTAATCTAAATCTTCTCAGTAGAAACTGCTTCTGGCAGTTTAGAAATGTGAGGGAGACACTCCATATATGCTGAAAGACATATACATTAGGTTGTTCAATCACTTCACAGCAGCGAGGAATGAAACTAGAACAATTCTTAAGGCCAGAATAACTAGCCACAAAAAGCAATTGTAAGAGTAAGTTTTCAAAGGACTTTTCAGGAGTTTGCTGAAGATTCATATATTAAAAAACATACAGTAATCTAGTCGCCAACTTTGAGAGTCACTATGCAAATGGAATTTCTAACATTTTGTGTTCATTTCACTTCATTAGTTGCACCCATAGACAGTAGTCCAGGAAAGCTTATGTTCAAAGAAAATTTCCAGTCAGATTGGCTTTCTTCAGTCTTTTATGTTAAAACAGTGTAACACACGTGACACTGTAAATACTATTGGACATTGTCAGCTATTCCATTTTTATTCTCTACTATCCTGAGATGCATAAATTCTGCATTTTTTACTTTCCTTTTCTTTCAGACCCCAGTTACACACCAGGGAAACATGGAAAGATGATGGAATGAATTCTCTTGACTTCAAACTTCTGGCAAGGAAGAAACATCCTCTTTATATGAACATTACTGTGGATATTGGGGCTGCACCCGTGATATCTCCTCAGGGCAAAAAAGAAGGGAATAAAACAAGTTTTGGCAACCTGTGAGCCTTTTGCAATGTTGCAATGTTGATGTTCTCTCAGGAACAAAATGTTGTGGGGTGGCGAGATGTAGCTACCCCTCTATCAGAGGATGAAGCTTCTTTTCTGTAAGCTACCTGTAAGCCATAAACATTTCAGCAATGGAAACCACACATCTGAGTGAGAGATATAGAAAGCAAGTCAGTGAGCCAGGCAGCAAGATGACATTTCTGTCACCAGAGAGTCCCCACGGAAAACTCAGTGACAGGATAATACACAGCATTCTGAAGCATATTAAAAGTCACAGCATTCTAAAAATCTTTGTTCTGGCAGCATGTTCCTGAAAAGGCACTTGAATTCTGCAAACTCTGGTCTTGGTCATTTCCTTTTGAACTCACCAAAAGGAAAATCCTCTCTTCCCAGTCTGACTGCAACAAAACCTGGGAAGGAGCAGTAGGTCTTCTATACAATCTTCCCATGGATTTGCTGGATATGTGTATCTACTGAACCCTACACTGTCCAGATTCTTGGATAATTCTTAGATCAGCTCTCCATCTGAGGTCCCTGTAGATGTTTTGCTCATAATTCCCATTAGTTGTTGACAAACCGACCAGACCTGATAAAAGATGTAAACTTAAAAATTTAAAGAAATCCATGTTGGAGAAGGTTAACTTTGGTTGTAATGAGTAGGAATTGTGCATCCATCCAGATCTTGCTGGATTTCAGTTTCCAGTATTCTTACAAGTGATTTGTTTGTAGGAGTTGTAGTCCAACATGTGAAAAGACATGCAATTCCTACTCTAGATTTAAAGTCATAGGTACTTACCGTCGCTATACCCTCCAGCAACTGGCTGGGAGATAAATGGAGATATTTGACCTATTTTAGGCATCTCATTGTACTTTATTCTTCACTGGAAATCAAATTTTCCTTCAGCAGTGTTCAGACTTTAAGAGTGCAGTTAAATGTTAACTATATTTCAGAGTATTACTTTTGTCAAGGTGTATTTTTCAATGAATTCAAATAAACTATTGGCTTATGAAAGAACTCAGATGTGCCTTGGCTCTTTTCAAAAGAAACCTTTCTTACCAAGTTTTACAAGCTGAACTTCTTTAAGACTTCTGTGTCCCAGAAGCTTCTGTTACACAGATATATCAGGCGGGACCAAAGCAGCCCTGATGAAGCAGCCTTGATTCTCCAAATACCTCACTGTGAAGAAGGCACTAGGCAGGCTCCAGCCTGAGTCCTGCCAGATAATGGTCAGTTTCAAATAAACACAAGGTGCTTACCTGTAACTGGTTCTTCAAAGTGGTCTTCTGTGAATTCACACCTATGTGCAGTGCAGTTTGGAACTTTCTATCTCTCTCAATAACTTAGTGGTAACCTCAATCACTCCCGAGTGTATATATACTGTGGCAGGTGACTTCATAGCCTTATTTTTTTATTTTTTTCTCCACCGTGCCAGCAGCTAAGAACATTCACTCTTCCTTGCAATACTACTGATGGACATGGACTTTGGACTTGTCAATGAACCAACATGACAATGGCTTTGAAGAACAGCTTGACCACTACTTTTAAGAAGTGTCTCGATTGCAAAGTCAAGGTCCCTAATAATGATGGCCTCTCGAAAAGCTTATTGTGTTTGGGGGAGGTGCATATTGTGTTGCTATGTAAATATTACCAAGCATTTACCCCAGCAGCTAGAAAAAATAGAGAGAAGCACCTCAAAGTGTCTTTTATGAGACAGTCCTCTGCCAAGGGGCTGGCAAAGGCCTCAACGCCCTTAACATCAGCGGCTTCTAAGCCATCAACCTCAGGGTTCTCACTGCCTATCACCAGTCTAAGGAAAATCCCGAAGCTTCCAAACTATGATAGCACAATGCCCATAGGTGTGGGTTCACAGCGACCACAAAGAAGAACATTGCTTCTATTATTATTATTTTTAGGTTTTTGCGGATTGGTTCATAAGGTTGTCAATTTGACTTATTATTAATATTAGAATGTAAAGCCAGTAATACTGCATGAACTATTTTACCATACATTTCTTAAAAGCAGGATGAGGAAGGAAAATGGTTTTGTAGCACACTGCTATAATACCAAACATTGACCTCATTTTCTGACAAATGTCAAGAAAACACAACAAGGTATAGCAATATTTTCCTCAAAGCATTCAGCGGAAACCTTTGGCGCTGGACAAACTATGTGCCCTTCCAGATATTGTTGGACTGCATATCCCAGAAGTCCTCAGAGGGAGGAAAACAATGCTCCAGAGGCTGCTAGATTCCAATGGGGAGGAAAACAGGTAGCAACAATCTAGCAGCCTCTGGAGCATCACACTTTGCCTAAAAGTAAAGTTTTCCCCTGACATGAAGTCCAGTCATATCCGACTCTGGGATGTGGTGCTCATCTCCATTTCTAAGCTGAAGAGCCGGCGTTGTCTGTAGACACCTCCAAGGTCATGTGGCCAGCATGACTGCATGGAGTGCCGTTACTTTCTGCCAAAAGGCATCTATTGATCTACTCACATTTTGCATGTTTTCAAACTGCTAGGTTGGCAGAAGCTGGGGCTGACAGCGGAAGCTCATGCCGTTCCCCGGTTTCGAACCTGTTATCTTTCAGTCAACAAGCTCTTTTTCGGTCAACAAGCAGCTCAGCGTTTTAACCCACTGTGCCACTGGGGGCTCCTAGCTTTTGCTTAGCTTCTATCTTTTTATCCTTTCAGTGGTCCAGGAACAAGTAATCATAACTAATTTGTTCATTCATTAGCCTAAGCAGCCACATTCATTTATATTTCATCCTAAATTACATAGACAGCATGAAAGATGTGCATCTGCATTGTGTTGGATGTAGTATGGGTGGTATAGACAGAATCCTCATCCATGGAGTTTGCAAGGGGACACTGATATTGTCTCATAATTTTATTTTTGAACACTCTCTCACGTCTCAATAAAAGTAATTGACCCAAAAATATTTTCTTTAACAATTCCAATTAGTTTTTATTTCTTAAAAAAAATAGAACCAGTAAACAAAGACAAGTTAATTTTGTTCTAACATGAAGTCCTTGTAGAAGTTGTGATGTTTCACTTCTCCCAATAAAACCGGTTATACTTTTACATACAAAATCCAGGATTAATTAAAGGTCCCTAGAAGTCCTTTTCTGCCCAAGACACTTGCTGTGTTTCTAGGAAATTCTGCATCAGAACAGAGTGTTTACCTTGCAGGGAGTTTCAAATGCCTGCTTGTTATTAATCCTGCATTCATTTGCCATCCTTCTTAAATACAAAAAAAACAAAACCCAACGACAAAAACAACTTTGCTACTGCCATTATTACAAACTAGCTGCCGAATAAAACAGGCTTCTGACACATTCTTGAACTGACACACTAATTGGAAAGCTTAACTAAGACAACAGACTCCTCTTTGGTGAGACCTGCTACATTCTAGTCAGTTTTCTGCTTTCTCTCATTCTCAATGCGTCTGTTCTTACAGATATTGCTTATGATGATCACTGGTTTGTGTAAGAACCTGCAATTGCCAACATTGTTAGCCTATTTTGTATAAAATGTAAGAAAATTGAATTCATTATGTTGAATGAAATAGCCCTTGTCTCATCTTTGCACCTTTGAAAAAGTATGGCAGTACTGTTTGTATAAATCCCTCTTTCCACTTCAAAAAGGTGGAGATTCAACATCAATTATAAAAAGGATAGCTTTCAGGTGGAGGGGAGGGATGAATTCTTCTCTGAAAAAAAAATTGTTTTCAACAAAGGAAAAAAACCTGACCGACAGAAATGGCCTCCCAGCCAAACCCAATCATGAAATGATAAGTGCTGTCCGCAGGGAATATCTATCAAAATTACTGGGGATGAACAAAAAACCACATTATTATCCCTCCCACCCCATGTATTTGCTGCTGGGGAAGAATCCAAAACAAGGATGTCCAGTTGCTCCAGCCCTAACGCTAGAAGATGCCCCTCCCCAATCATTCTGACAAAACCCATGAGGCACAAAAGAGATGGTTATGAAATCTTCATTGGCTTGCCTAAATCCACTGTAATGTTGGTATACAAAGGGTTGTACTCCGTAGCAAGCAGGTTATAGGAACAGGAGTTGAGTCCATCCATTTTCCATACTCGAGAAACCTGACGCAAAAGATTCATCCTGAACAAATAAAAGGAATGATAGATTATAGGATATGAAAGCTCCTGTTTCAGACCAATTCCACTATGGAATTAAATTGAAATTTTGGAGACAAGATGCACCAAAACAGTGAGTTTTCTGCATTAATTTTGCAGTTTTGAACTGGCACATCTATGTATGGGGCAATAGTAATGCACTGCTTAGACCAGGGGTGTCCAATTCATTTTCACTGAGGGCCACATCAGCCTAATGTTTGTCTTCAAAGAGCCATTTTTAATTGTTAAATATATGAATGTAACTACTACTTAACATATTGTTAAATAACCTGAGACACCATATCACACACCATCCTCACTGCATCCTGGTTGGTGTTTCTCTCTATATTAAGTTCGGGCAAAAATAACATTGTTAAGAGTCAATTTTTAAAAGGGGGTGCACAGCGATGATCTGATTGATTTTAACAGTCTCAGCTTCGGTAGAGAGTTATAAAGGACAAGGTTGACATTTGAAATATGTAGTGGGGTCCTCTTCCCTCTCACCCTGACTCTCTCTCTCTCCTCCCCCTCCCCTAAATACACAGAAAGAGAAGAATTACAGCTGCATACCCAAGGCAGGGAAAAGGCAGGAGTGTTTGGATGACTTTCCTTTTCCTTTACAAAACCAGGGAAGAGTTAGATGAATGGATTAAGAGCCTTGAATGCACAGAGGCAGAAGTTTTGTAGAGGATCAGGTTGTTGGGCTGAGGGTGAGATGTTACACACATTTCCTTAAAAGCAAGTGTCTCTAGAAATCAGGGTTTGGTCAGGGAGGGACAGAGTGTCCATCCAGTTGGCTCTTTTCTTTTTATTTGCTTTGGCAAAGTTATGACCAAGGAGAATGGGAGGCTCTGACATGGCAGGTGGGATTTGACTCATGGGCCTTGTGTTTGACACATGTAGCTTAGGCCAAAGTTGTCTTCAACTTGAGGAATTGCATCTCCCACCATCCCTAGTCAACAGTACACCAAATTTTGGAAAGCTAATTTAGACTGTGTCCATCCTATATTCCATCCATCTGCTTATGCTTCTGAGTAGATTTGTGTCTCACCTCTGTCCATTTGCCTCATTCCCTCGGTCTCTTGTATGAAAGATCATTGTGTACTTGGCTACCCTGGGGGAAGGCCTGATAACCTTCATTTTCTGCATTTCAACCCTGAAAGCAAGAGCATAGTTATTAGAGAGCAATAATGTAAAAACCTATGGAGACAGAAAGGAGTGTATACTTCAACGACTAGTCAGGAGGGATACATGCAGCCTTTTAACATTTATCATTGTCAACTAACAACATAAATGGACACATTTCTGAAAACAAAAAAGAGAACTGGTGATAAATGTTCTTTTTTAGGTTACCTGCTCACCAGCCTATCTTGAGGAGTAACAACAACAACAACAACACTTTATTTATACCCCACCACCATGTCTCCGAAGGGACTGGGGGCGGCTCACAAAAAGCACACCATAGTGCCGCAGCAAATAGAATACATTTACATAAACAACATAGGTTTGTATAAAAACAACATGCATTTACATAAAACAGAATACTAATATAACCCTACCAATTTAAAAATTCAATAGACACAAGCAAGCTGCAGATAAAAACAAGCTGTGTATCATCTCATTCCATAAAATGCTAACATAAATCAGTCACTAGACTCTAGGGTTTCAAGTAGAATGCTAAGATTTGCTAAAATAAGGAAAATACAAGTCACAGATTACATGGAAATTAATGAAAACCAATAATTCCAGTAATTGTAATGGGGTAGTTCCATAAAGTATAGTGAAGTTTTCCTATATGCCATTTCTCTTAAATGTTTAAACTACAATAATTTCAAAATAAAAACAGGAAGGATACCGTGACTTACTTGCTGTTATTAGAAGCTAGAGAAGAATTCCCATGAGCATATAATGCAATGAATCTAGCTTGAAGACAAAATATGTGGAACCACAGAGATACTAGGACACCAAAAACCCCACAACAACAAATAATTAAACAATGAGGGCTATGGAGCAATATGTTCCTTAAAAGTCTTTATATTTAGAAGTGAATAACTAATAAAGAAATGCAAAAGATGTAAAGCCAGGGTTAAGTCAAACCTACCACCACAACCAGTTTATCACCCAATTGCTGGAGAAGGAGTAATTCTGGAGAGCATGCCAGGGTCAGTCCTACTGTTAGATACTGCCTGAGGGATGGCCACCTCAGGCAGTAAATATCGGGTGACAAAAAAGAGCTGCTATTTTAAAGCTAACCAGTCTGTTTAATGCAAAGGGATGGATGTAGTATATTACAAAATTTGTTGCCTCTTGCACCCAGAACTCTTGCTGTCTTTAGAACTCTGTGAAAAGAGCATGCAGATGCATGTTTTTAAAAAATCCCAAATGCCATTGTTTTTCAGAAGAAGAGGAAATACTTTTCTGAAGAAGAGATATGAAGCAGAGAAGGCTGCCCACATATCTCCTGCAACTTCTTTGCCTCCAGGGACATCTCTCTCTGCAGAATTCTAGATGAGTCTTTGCCCCATTAAAATGCAAGCAGAAACGTACAATGGAGGGAAACAAATAGAAAACTGAATTGCCAAGCCATACAGCTGAAACACAACAGACATTTTTTCTAAAAGGTTGCTCATCTGTAAAATATATAAGAACTATAATAATCTGGAAAGAAGAAATGAATCCAGTCATTTATAAAGATTTCTGAATAAGCAAGGAATGTTATGTTTCAGTATAATCCTTGGAGTATCAGGCAACATGCTAATCAATTACAGACACTTGGTGAACTGGACCCAGATACCTACTGCATATACTCATGAATCAGTCCAGAAATTTTAGTCAAAAAATTGACCCCAAAAATTGGGTTGACTTATCCACCACAGATCAATGTAAATCTCTCATGATCCTGGATCCATCACTGAGCCTGGAACTCCAGGTTTTAGCAGTGGCCAGGGGAGCTTTTGCACAATTAAAACTTGTGTGCCAGCTGCGCCCATACCTTGGGAAGTCAAACTTGGCCACAGAGGTCCACTCTCTGGTTACATCCCATATAGATTACTGCAACATGCTCTACGTAGGGTTGCCTATGAAGACTGTTCGGAAGCTTCAATTGGCCCAAAGGGTGGCAGCCAGGTTGCTCATCGGAGCAGCATTCCGGGAGCACACAACTCCCTTGTTACACCAGCTCCACTGGCTGCCAATCTGCTACCAAGCACAATTAAAAGTGCTGGCTTTAGCCTATAAAGCCCTAAACAGTTCCTGTCGGAACGTATCTCCCCCTATGAACCATCTCAGAGATTAAGATCATCTGGGGAAGCCCTGCTATCAGTCCCACAGCTGGTGGGGATGGAAACAGGGCCTTCCTAGTGATGGCCCCTTGGTTGTGGAACTCTCTCCCTAGCGGTATTAGATCTGACTCCTCCCTCCTAGCCTTCAGAAAGAGAGTAAAAACCTGGATATGGGAACAAGCTTTTGAAAAATAGTGTGGTGCAATAATTTTAATGTGGAATATGTGCAATGGATTACGGAATGGCCTTCGACTCTGATCCTTGGGTGGTGTGTTTTTACATTGGAATGTATTTTAATTATGTTTAATATGTATTAATTTTAATCCTATTTATTTTTGAGTTAACATTGTATGTTTTAGGCACTGTGTAGGTGCCATATGTAAGCCGCCTTTAGTCCCCCTTGGCATAGAGAAAGGTGGGATATAAATAAGGTAAATAAATAAACACATATTGTACCTTACATTTAATTTAAAAGGATTCATCTTCTTCTCTGAGTGGAAAAAAATGAAAGCTTAGTCCATCAATTGACAACCTATACAAGGCAGTTACACCTCTACTCTCTTTGCCATGACACCGGCCTTTTTGAATGCCTGGGTGGGAAAATGGTGATGGCAGCCAGGGGTGGCTGGCCCCCAATGCAACACTGCTCCTTTCTCTGTGAAATGGCCCTTATCCATAGGTCAGGTCAAAATCCAGTATTTTGGCCCCAAAACTGGCACTTGGCTTATACATAAATATATACTGAACTCCACAGTAGATCTACTGAGTCTCTTGCTGAATGTTAAATCAATACTAATGCAAATTCTATGGCTTCAACAGGCCTACACTATATTGGACTAGTAACTGGATTTAGACCTGGCTACAGAGTATGTAGGAAGTTAGCTTATGCTGAATGAGACCATGGGCCCCTGACCCTGCACTGTCAACAAGGAGTGACATTTCACTCCTTCAGTGGTGTTTTTTTGCCCCAGCTGTACTTGGCAATGGCAAGGATTGAATCTTGTGCTTTCTGTATGCAACTCATGTGCTCTGCTTCCTAGTTTCTGCTTCTCCCTAAAGTTATCATCAGGTTATCTCTAGAAAAAGATTGCTTCTTGATCCTAGAATGTCCCATTGCTAGTTTCCTGTTAAAAGAATACTTCTATTCTTCATTTTTATTACTTTTTAAAAATAAACAAAAGTTCCATTGGCTTTCAAGGACAAAGGCAAACAGAAAGGACAAGCTCTTCAAGATGGTAACAAACAGATCCTGTAAGCAAAAGCCAATCGAAGCACTCCTGGCCAAAAAGACCAGGAGTAACAGAAAAATAAGCATCAATACATAAATTTGGTTATGGTGTTCATTTTACAGGAATCCTAATGCTTTTGATTACAGCTCACAATCTAAATTGTGTTTTTTTCATTTAGGATAATCCTATGAAAAATCTCAAATACAAAGCTATACCACCATGATCTCTAGAAATAGTCGGGAACTACGTGCTCTAATGAGGTCCTCCCTTTCATATTTCAAGGAGGTTGTACAATTTGTTTTTCCATTGATATTATTTTTAATAACATGGAAACACGGGCTTCCTTAAAATAATACATTTTTTAAAAATAGAATTCTTTTGTAACAATAAATATATGCTACTACTGGTGTGATCTGCTCCCAAGAACTACAAATTACTCCTAAAAATAGAGGCTCTAATCTCCTGACATCTATGTGTTTTATTTTTAATTAATATTCAAATATGTCTTTTATGGTATCCCAAAATTTACTATTTCTTTAACCAATCACACAGGCAAGCTGTTTTGTTGTGCTAAGGAGTAGTTATGTTAGAAACATTTTGTTCCATGCTATTATCACAGGTACTTCTTAGATAGTGATACAGATTTCACCCATCTTCTTGCACCATTCTAAATGCCCTGGTAACTCAAGAGTCCTCTGCTGGTTTGTGTTCACTGACTCCTGCACTCAGAAGCCACACTAGTTAGGGTAAAGTAGCTCTGTCCTCCTGGAAAAGGCATCGGGAAACATTTACAGTATGCAACTCAATGTAATGACAAAAAAATATTGAGGCAACAGTCTCATCTAAGTGTAGCAATTTCAGTATTCTCCAGTTTTATAACGGATAGCTGTCAAAGCTTCATATCCCAATGTAAACTGTATTGTCGAAGGCTTTCATGGCTGGAATCAATCAGTTCTTGTGGGTTTTTTTAGGCTATATGACCATGTTCTAGAGGCATTTCTCCTGACGTTTCGCCTGCATCTATGCTCGCCATAGATGCAGGCGAAACCTCAGGAGAAATGCCTCTAGAACATGGCCATATAGCCCGAAAAAACCCACAAGAACTGACCAATGTAAACTATTTGCAGCCCACAAAAATGGATGACCTACAAAATATCTTCTGTATTCTAAAGTAAGCTATAAATTACCTATACCCAAGAAGTTATCTTCATCCACAACCCAGGCTACCCATTTTGGCTTAGATATGCAATTACCTGATCCGGAGGTCATCGTCCTCTCCTCCCCAGCCCCAGTAGTTGTTAGAAAATCCATTCACCTTTGAGAATTGCTCCCGTGTTAGAGCAGTTACACCCCCAAAGTATCCTTGGTAACGCAACCTAAACATGAAGTAGAAGAAATAAACACTTTTTTTATTTTACAAAGGCATCAATCTTAACATTCAAGCAATTCCCACCTTCCTAACATAAAGAGAACTATGTAGCTTCTTGCGTCCAGGGGGCTTGCTCTTTTCTTTGCCCGAGAAGAATAGTCACATCAAGTGATTGGAACACCAAAAAAACATTGTCCCAGGAAGCTTTCCCAGGAAGTACCTATCCAATCTAAAAATCCAGGTTCACCCAACAAGGTTTTGTGACCTTCACAATAGTGCTGTGTCACCCCCTTCAGTGACACATTCATGCTTACCACAAACCTTAGGTTTTTTTAATTTATTCATCCATTGATTTTTATTTTTAAGCTGTTTTGTTAACCTTACATTGCATTCAAGAATATATATCCAGTAAGCTTAAAACCATTTTTGAAATGTTTAACTCTCAATCAGAAAGCCTAGTTCCAAATTATTCCTTTTTATTTTCATGGTGAGAAATGCTATTGCACATTAATAGTTCCATCTACCAATATGATCATGAGAAAGCCCTATCTCTCCAAAAGCTACTCAGTAGCAGAAGACACAATTCCAGTTCTACTGGGGGTCACATTCAGCCATGAAACGAGGAGATTTCATGTCCTCCCAATGGTACATATTTTCTGGAGTCTTCCACACCTATCCATTGAAGCACTTTAGAAGTATTCAGTTTTACCCAGAAGCAAGTAGCAATAGATGTTGGAAGTGTCACTAAGCTGACACCATCATTATGCATTTGGGAAAAAATCTGCTGCCTGTTTTGATCCAATACTATGTCAAAGATGAGACATGAGAGAAGCCTCCCACAGGATGGTAAAACATCCGGGCATCTCCTGGGCAACGTCCTTGCAGACAGCCATTTCTCTCACACCAGAAGTGACTTGCAGTTTCTGAAGTAGCTTCTGGCATGATTAAAAAACATGTGAAAGACTATGTAGATGCAGAATAGGTCTTCACAGTAATTTACAGATCCACTGCCACGAGTCTACCTCTGGAAGACAATCATATTCGGCCACGAGTGATCGCCCATGATCACGACAACCACCGCTACTCGTTTTCTCATTTCTACCTAATGAAATTTAGATTCAGTCATACTTGAGAACTGACTCCCTGAAATCAATGTTAGTCACAACTACCCTAAATGTTATTGATTCCCATGGCTGGGTGCAACTGTATATAATTTTATGTTGTTTTAACTATTTTTAAAATGTTGTCATGAGAAAACTGTGCCCTTGAAGACATAAAATATATTAATTTAATAAATTAAATAAAGCCAGGTGTTTATTCTAGACATATGTTAAGTAACACAACAACCAGAACACAGACAGAGAGATCTATCACCTTCAAAGATTTCCAACTCAAATGACAGGCGCGCACACAAGCAGCAAAGGATCACTTATTAGTATGCAAATGGCATGCAAATCAGCATTGCTTCGTAACATGTTAAGATTTCTCTACCAACTTTCCTACCTGTAGCCTGTGCTGTTTCTGCCCACTACTAAGTGCTTTGGCTGACTGCCACACATGTATATGTTGAAGTCATTTTCGGGCACCAGGTCAACATCATGGAAGATGAAGCAATCCCAACTGTCTTCCTTCAGGGCTTCCAGATATCCAACATTCAGCAGTTTTGCCCTATTGAACTTAGCATTGCCAGCCTGCAGACAAGAAATTCACATCAGACCCATCGAAAGAAGCAAGCTTTCCAGCCTACAGAAACAGTATCAGAAATACAATGAAAAATATGTGGGCTATTACATTTTAAACTGTGGGTCCCAACCTCAAATGGGGTCCCCTAAGGTCAATACTGGGGTTACGGAAAATTTGGCAACAGTAAAAGATTTTTGAATAACACTCATTTATACAAATCTGTTAGCAACAAGGTGTAGGGTTTACAGTGGACTCTGCAGAAAATAGTTCAGCTTGATTAGCAAGTCTTGCAAATCCTGGTTTACTGTCAGCAAATGTTGGATTTTTATACCTAGGGGTCATGTAAAAATGCCTTGAGCAAGAAGGGGTTGCAAAAAAAAAATCTCAGATGGAAAAGGGGTTTTGAGTAGAAAAGGTTTAAGGAGTCCCGGGCTAGAGATTCAAAACAGAACATATATGCTAAACATCAGTAGGTTGTCCTCTGTGGTTCTGAGACCAATTTCACCCTTGTTAAAGACAAGGAAAGGAGGAGGAGGAGGAGGAGGAGGAGGAGGAGGAGGAGGAGGAGGAGGAGGAGAGCAACAACAACAGCAACAACAACAACTTTATTTTTCTACCCTGCCTCCATCTCTCCGAAGGGACTCGGGGCAGCTTACATGAGGCCAAGCCCAGGCAACATACAATTATGTTGATTATAATAAATAATACACAGCCCTCTTTCCTTCCCAGAAATCTCTCTATCAAATACCTTTTCACTTGGCTGCATCAAAAGAAAACATGCAACTGCACAGGCCATCAACTCAACTAGAACAAACTAACATTTGGTTCCTCCTGCCTCTATCAGCAATCTTTTCTTATCTGTGCATTATGTTAAGAGTATGAAACTGCAAATGGAGGTCATTCCCCTTTTTCCCCCTTCATCCCCCCCCCCCTTTTGCATAAAGTATCTTAGACTGCAATCAACTAGATTTCTATTCACACACTTATTAGCTTGGGTTCAACATGTGAACAGGGGAGCAACAAGCCCTGCCCTCTCCATCCAATTTCTTCATGAGAATATGATACATTTCAAGAGATGAGGTTGGGTTCAGAAGTAAATGCCCATTCCAAAAGTACTAAAGCAAGAAATTGTGGCATTAAAGCAGTGGTGCCGCAATGCGAAGGCATCATGTTCTCTAAAGGAAGACATTTCTGTGGGCAGGCAGGCAGGCTGGTACACCACTGGATAACCAGATATACCACACGGCACCCAGCTTGGTTCCACTGTGGTGGCAACACTACTTGAGTCTTACTTTTGTAATACAATGAATGAAAAATGCTACCAGGCATTTTTTCCTCAGTTTGGATTTTCCTTCCACACCATCAAACACTTTTGTGGATATAGGAGAATTTTGTCCCCTGAAACTCACTGAAATTCCCATAGTGTCAGAAAACTCCCAAGTACGCTTATCTATCAGAATAACATTTAAATTGTGAAAAACTCAAATGTTCAGAGTAAAAAACTACATCTGTGGTGGGAACATAGATTTCCTGTGGAGACACATATATAAATAATTCAGAACCCTTCTAGAGTAAAAATAATCAGGAAACAGGAAATGAATAAAAGATTAAACGTCTTTTTAAAAAACCTTGCATTCTTTATTTTAAATATGAAACTGATTTTGTAAATGAAGGACTGTTGGAAAAATATTGATGTCATACAAGTAATTGCTTTTGTTGTACATTACTTATGCTGTACATTTACTGCAAACTAGAGCAGATGCAAATAACAGCAAATTGTCACTTTAGAAACACACTGAGCAAATTTGTAAAACTAAGTGCATGTCACCTGAAGAACCTAAGCTGCCATCTGCACAGACTGGAATAACTCTCAATAGCATTTCAAACTAGGCCTTTTTCTAGTCCCACTTTGGGTTATGACAAATTGAAACTAGAATACTTTGCATGTAAAACAAATATTCTGCCAAGGAGCTACCTACCTTTGCCTATTATTGAAGACACTGATAGAGAAAGTTTCACTTGTTCATTTATACATTAGTTATTAATACTTAAGAGCCAGTGTGATGCAGTGGAGTGCTGGACTCCAGAGACCAGGATTCAAATCCCTGCTCAGGCAGGGAATCCCACTAGGGGATCTTGAGCTAGTCACACTCTCTTAGGGCCCTTCTACAAATGCTTTAAAATCCAGAAGTAACCAAGTTTAAAGGGGGTGGCTAAACATCATTTAGCCAAGGTGCAGGAGGATTGGGTTAAGATGTAAAAAACACATGTTAAAAAGGTATGCTTATAATCCAATTCAGCATGAAAAAAGCACACCTTTGCATGACTATATATCCCTGCAGTCATGCAAAACACTTGCTTTCCTTCCCTCCCCCCTTTGTAGCCTGTTCCAGAGAATGTGCGCTTTCAAAAAGTCCGAAACAGCTGATCAGCTGATTGGGGTGTAAAATGGACACACAGGTGGTTCAAGGGAAGTACAAGTGGAGAGCCATTAGAAATCTCTGAAACCCATTATTTTACATTTTATAATCTTAAACAGAGGTTGAATTAAGAATTGGGGAGAGAGATCCGACTAAAGTTTTTTTAGCAAAAAATTATTCCGTTATGCGCTGGACCTCATATGCACACATGCGAATCTACTTGTGTTTATAGTAAGATACAACAGAGACATTTAAAACTTCCGCCGGATGTCCCCCGTCCATCCTCCATCATGTTCCGCTACAGAGGAAGGCTGTGAGGATGGCAGGGGACCATATCCTGGAACTTACATATCTGAGTGTGGACCTGCTGTCAGGTCCTGAGATTTTTTGTCTTAGATTTAAAACACAGATTTTGGAACTGTCTGCCTTAAAATGTAGACCAACTAGCCTTGGTAGATACCAAATACATGCAAAAATGTTGCCTAGTTTCTTCCTCTAATCTCCCTGTTTTACAACAATTTGAACTATTCCAGGAATTTTGGGTGTAGTCAGGAATTAGAGGCTGCCACTAAGCCAAAATTTATTTTATTTTATTTATTTTTATCCTGCTTTTCTCATGATATAGGGATTCAAAATACAGCTGAAACCAATCAAACTTAATGCCTTTGTAAATCACTGTTCTTTCAATTTAAAGCTAGAACATGTAGCATTTCACAGAATCAAAAAGTTGGAAGATAATGCAAGGGCCATATAAAGAACTAGGTAAATTCCAATCTCAAATCAGAGCTGATCTAGATCTGCTGATCCAAGCAGCCTTCAGGTCTTCGCAAATCATATCCTGATGCACAGAGCTGTGGCACTGGGCAAGTCATACGAAACAGCAAGAAACAAAATTTTGAAATCTACTTTAGTTTTTTTAAACTATTTACTCTTTAATTGTATATTTTGCACACTTTGCAAATACCATTAAGTTGGGTGCAAGCATTTAGACACAAAATAAATAAACTGGAACCGAAAAAACTAAGCTAATGTCAAAACATTAAAATATTATGATGTTGAGAGTTAATTTAAAAAAACCTTAAACAATAAAAGCAACAAGTCAAGGAATACATATAATTTATCCTGATAGAAAATCCACATTAAAGAACTTGACAAAAACCACCACCTCTAGAGAGGAGAATACAAGACGTGAAACTCACCAAGCATAGCCTTTGAAAGAGAAGTCAGATGCAAAAACGTGAGCTAAGCCCCAGGATGCAAACAGGCAATTATTTGAGCAAGATACATTTTTCAGGCCTGGCAGCTTTGAGAATAACAACGCTCTACCAACAGTGCATAAAGTTAATTTGCCACCCGCTCTGTTTAATTCGTTCGATCCACTGTAAGCTCTTGCAGCAGAAGGCATAAGAAACTCATCAGCCCTAGTACACACAGGAGCTCCTAAGAGCTGGTAACACACTGAGATGGATTTGTATTAGAGTTAGGGAAAAGTGATCTGGGACTTGCCTGAGGCAGCATACTGATCACAGATGAACAAAGAGACACAATAAGAAATCACAAGAGAGCTAGTTTTCTTCTATACAGACTCACCTGGTGGATGACATATATGCCATATTCCAGCTGCTGCCGCTGCAAAAAAGGGTGAAGGTGCTCCAGCAGGTACAATAGGTGCTTCTCACGACTGCGATGTGGAATCAATATAGCAACTCGTTGCAGAGCTAAGCAGTCTTTGGGATGAAAGCGTCCCTTTGTGACCTGAGGATTTTCTTTTTGCACCTCTTCTAGGGTGAGAGAATCTTTGAATGCAAGCTTGCTGGGGCCTCCTACAGGAAAAGGCAAGCGTCATCATCATAAACCTAGTTGCTAGAAACATTTTCAGCTGCTTAAATGGCCTGGCACTCAATAAAACCTGGGGAAGATGTTTATTTCATGCTTCATTACTTAAACTTAGCACTGTACAGTAACATTCCTACTAAGTAGCTAGGTTTACTGGTAGATAATTTATACAATTGACTGAGGATGGGTTGGAAGACATTTTTTTCCTCACATGGCATCAGCAATTGACATGATTTACCACCTCCACAGTCAGATTTGACTTACAGCAATGGTTCTCAACTGCTGGGTCCCCGCATGTTTTGGCCTTCAGCTCCCACAAACCCTAACAGCTGGAAAACTGGCTGGGATTTCTGGGAGTTCTAGGCCAAAACACCTGGAGACGCACAGGCTGAGAACCAATGGCTTACGGGGTCCTTATGACTTTCAGTTCCCAATCTGTAATACGAATTGTACAGGGCGCATGTGTCATTCCAAAATGGTAACTGCTTACAGCAAGCCCAAAGGGAAACCCTTCATAAGTAACCAAACATGGACCATGTAAAATATATTTGTCAAGGCATATCCAAATATTAGTGGTCAAGTAGAAAAGCTATTTTTCAATAGTTGGACCCCACTGTGGCAATCATGGAGCAATGAATGAGGAAAAATAGTTAGACCATAGGGGAAATATGAAAGTGTCAGTAATTTGGTTAAATTATCTAGCCTGTTCATTTAACACCACAAGATTCAGTCACAGAACTGCCGTAAAAAAAAACCAACGGTTTTTAACAGAGTCCTAGATCTACATGTTAGAAGAAGAACAAACAAAAAGACTGGCTTTCACAAGACAGATTAAATCTTATTTATATAGAAATGAAAAATTAAACTTAAGGAGTAATGAAAAAATACCTGCTTTATGTTTCTCAACTTGAGCCCAAGAGGCAGGCCCTGTATGAACTTTCAAAACAAACAAGAACTGGCAGAAAGTGCAATTCTGTGGGTTATTAGGACAATTCTGTCCTAATAACCTTTAGAATATGGATTTCCACTCCTGGACTCATAGAGTTGGAAGAGACCACAAGGGCAATCCAGTCCAACCCCCTGCTATGAAGGAAAAGTACAATCAAAGCACCCCCACAGATGGACATCATTATCCAGCCTGTTTAAAAGCCTCTGAAGAAGCAGCCTCCATCCCATTCTGAGGCACTAAATTCAGCTGTTGAACAGCATTTACGGTCAGGAAGTTCTTCCTAATGTACAGGTGGAATCTTCTTTCCTATAAATTTAACCCATTGCTCCAAGTCTCAGTCTCCAGGGCAGTAGAAAAGCCTGCTCCCTCTTCCTTACGACACCCAGAAAAGGGAATTAACATACATATATACAGTCATACTTTGCTTATCCAACACCTAAAACTACAACTTACGCAGATAGGGAGACTTGGGGGGACAGGGCATCATCGTGATGGGCAGATTCACAGTAGGCATGGAAATCCTGTCTGAGTTTCCATTTTGCTCCTCTGTAGCAGTGGTTGTTTTTCTGTCGTTTCCTAATAAGCTTTGTGTCTTTGGATTTTCATGGATAGCATCCAATAGATAAGTAGAAGTGACCCAACCCACCAGCAAGATACACAAACTGAAGAGAATCAAGAGTTTGAGCTTGTAAGAGCCATGAAGCTTGCCATAGCTCAAGCCCATGGCCCTTCAATGGCTTATGAGTTTCTCCCTTGATACTGCTCTTGACGTATCCTTGTTGTAGCACACTTCAAGGAAAGCAGAAAAGTCAAAATGAAACAAGGAGTTATGTGGTGCTGCATTCTGACAAGTGCCCTTTGGCTTTTGAATGCATGTCTTTCTAGTTCAGCAAGGAGTTGAAGGTGGACATTACTAGATGAGACCTGTTCAGAAAGAAAGAGATAAAAATATTCAGTTTTCCTCAATCACCCACAGAATTCACCAAAAGCAGAATTTGTACAAATATGTTGTTGTATAAACATAAGTTACCAAAGAGCAAGGCTCTCTTCCATATGTTATAATCCAACAAACTCCAAGGCCCTCAGGTTTACAGAGTAAAAAATGCTTCTGAACATTCAGAAAGGATCATAGCTAACTCATAAAGCACCTGCTTGATATACAGAAGGCCTTCAGTTAAATTCCTGGCATGGCCAGATATAACTTAATCAAATGAATATTTGGGGGGGGGGGGGAGTCTCAAAAATATTTCTCAGGCATATTTGGTTCTGAAATACAGTAAGACCCGTATAAAAACCCATATCCATAGTTTTGATAACCATATCCATTTATTTATTATTTATTTCCTGCATTTGTAACCCGCCCTTCTCACCCCCGAGAGGGTACTCAGGGCGGCCTAACAGCAAGCACCATCCAGTGCTGTCATAATTATAAACATTCAACAATACAATTTAAAACATTAAACATTTAATTAAAACAGTTAGTTAAAAACAGTTAATTAAAAACAGTCAACTAAAACAATCTATTAAAACACGCTAATTAAAATCCAAATACAGGTCCAAGTCAATTCATTATTGCGAGTTGCTTAAATTTTCTTCTCACATTGCTGATATTTAATGGTCTAACGCTTGGTTCCATAGCCAAGTCTTGAGTTTCCTTCTAAAAGACAGGAGGAAGGGGGCCAGTCTGATGTCCCTGGGGAAGGAATTCCACAGACAGGGAGCCACTGCTGAGAAGGCCCTGTCCCTCGTCCCCACCAATTGTGTTTGCAATGACAGTGGGATCGAGAGCAGGGCCTCTCCAGATGATCGTATGGTTCGTAACAGGAGATATGTTTGGACAGGTAAACTGGGCCAGAACCATTTAGGGCTTTAAAGGTTAAAACCAGCACTTTGAATTGTGCTCAGAAGCAGGCCGGCAGCCAGTGGAGCTGGCGTAACAGAGGGGTTGTGTGCTCCCTGTACACCACTCTGGTGAGCAACTTGGCTGCCGATCGTTGGACTAATTGAAGCTTCCAGGCAGTCTTCAGAGGCAGCCCCAATAAATAAATAAATAAATAAATAAATAAATAAGACCTGTATAAAAACCCATATTCATAGTTTTGATAACCATATCCATGGTTTCTTTTATCCTCACCTGGTGGGGAAAAAAATGCTAAGTGATTCTATGGTGTACTTCCCCCAGAAGTTACCATAGAGTTACACAGGGGACAATTCCTGGAAAGGATGCCTCTCTAGGAATTGTCAAGTCCTCTAGCACAACTTTATGTTATGCTAAGACCAGATATGAAATTAATTTAATGGCCTTCTGTTGCATTCTGCAACCAGCTGGGAACAAAAGGATAAGACAGCAAGTTCCAGTTTCACAGCTAGTAATATCTGAGTAAAAGGCTAAAGGAAAACTACATACTCACAATGTACTCTGAATACAAAATTCAAAGACATTGGGTAAGTAAGATACGCAGTTGTTAGGAATGTCATATTGAAACCAATGTGTACCATATAAAATAATCATGTAAAAATGGCTTCTTTAAAAGCTGAATAGAAACAGAAAAGTTCAAAGTTAAAAAATCCCTATTGCATTATCAGTTGTGCAACAGAGTAAAAAAACTCAAGATAAGAACAATTAATTCACTGTCTAAAAATGTTCAGTGTAACAATGTGGATAGTCATATGAAACAAAATGCCTCATCCTTGACCCTTTCTTGCCTCACACCAATTGACTCAATTAGTTATTTTACTTGTATGCAGAAATCTTGGTATTATGGTCAAATCTTGCTCTTCAACAGGCCTCCAACGTAAGATCGAAAATTATGGTTTGAGATTTGCAAGTGTGGATGGTCTCAAGCCTGTAAGCGAGCAGGATGCCAAGAAGGAAGAATGAAAACAAAATTAATACTAAGCCATAGTTTGGCATTACCATGAGAGCCAACTCAGCATCTGCTGTTTGTTTCTGTACAGTTATCAAAATTTACAAAGAAAGGGCAGGTTTTTAAGGTGTGGCTCAACCTCATTGTTGGTGTCATCAGAGAACTGTAAAGTGTCCAAGTTCAAGATTAAAGGAGTGTAAATTCAGCATGATCAGGAGAGTGGGTCGCATACAAACACCATCAGCATTCCATCTGTAACATATGACATCTTTTACAGCTCTTATAACAAAATGACTACCTATCACATAACAGCAAGATAAATTATTATGGTAATAAAGCTGTATAGTCTTATCAAATCAGCACTGTAATAACAAGACCTCAGAACACAGCACTGCTACAATTTAAGTAAAGGACATTTGAAGGTGTTTCCCCCTCTGGTTGCCAACTATGTACTACAAATTTGACAGTAGCAGTTACTCATTTAACTCTCAATTATATAGTGTGGTGGTATTTTTATGTACTGAGAATGAGCTACAAGTAGAAGGATCCATGTGTCTTTACTAGCTTGGCTAGACTATAGGTCATTTATTAGAAATAATCTGTGTTTCACTCCACTGATAGCTAATGGCCCATTTAGAGATGGCATAGTTAAGCATTTAGAAATCAGTAAAAACATCTTACACGACAGAAGTAGGAAAGCCATAGAAACTCACACAACACCTGAAGGGATAGGGAGAATAGGATAAGCAGAAAGAAAGAAAAATGCATCAAGTCATAGATTCCATAATTAGACATTCCCCGTTTTAGTCCCTTGTAATAATACTTTGTTGGTGAAACTATACATTAATAAACCAGCAATATGATACTTCTCTGAGAACCAACACCAGGTGGATATAGATAAAGTGTTAGGGTGGATGTCTTGTAAAAAAAGACAAGTGAGATAAATCGCCACTGACATACTGAAATGCAACTTTAGAAACTCAGAAAAATTAGCAATAAATATAGCACCTTTAGCATTTTCCATCCATAAGTGGGAACATAAAAGAAGATCCTAAAGAAGAAAGACTCCAAACTGAAATGTGACTACTGAACCTAAAACAGTTTAACACCACAGTTCTCTTTTAAAATCAACTCCTTTCCTGATTTTTCAGGAACACATAGCACAGCTTCAGCTGTCATTCTTATGCCCAATGCTAAAAATCGTGTTGCTCTGTGGTGGAAATTCAGCCAAGCATCCATTCCGCCTGCACCAAAGGAGCATGACAGTCAAGAGCACAACTTGCTGCTGTTTTTCTTAACTCTTTAAACCAAGAGAAAGTGAGATCATTAGACTTACTTAATCCTGCCTCTGCTTTCCTTCTTGTGGTGAAGCTGTTTTGTTCTTCCCGCAGCAAAGACAGCTCCTGTGCCAAGTAGCAGGGGCACTTTTCAGTATTGAAATCCCACACCATAAAGAGCTCTCTGTTGCCTCTCACAGATCCAGAAGGAGGAGTCGTCTCAAAACTGCATGAACCACTAAAAGAAAAGTCAACAGTTTCAGCTTTTTCCTATTAGATGCCACTCCTTCTCTGTTCTCTATGCATGCAGTTCCCTCCACCCCTTTCCTTTCTTTCTATTCAGAGAAGTCACTTCTTAAGATTTTCTATACTAATCAAAGCTGGAGGATTCTGGAAATCCTAGTCCCAAAAGTTACTCTCCCATGTTCTGACAAATAGCTCAAGCATATTTCTGCTCTCCTGGACTTTATTTGTGTGAGGATTATTCTAAAGGTATTTCACCTGCCTTCCTGCTATTTTGCTTCCTGTGGCAATTACTCTCAAACAGAAAGGATGTTCAAATAACCAAGGTGATCTCAGATAACCAAGGTGATCTCAGATGTAACATTCTTATAAACTGAAAGCTGGCTAGAGTTACTCCAACTCTCTCAAAATGAACTTCAGATGGAACTCTTCAGAACTGAAGGTTACTTTGAAGAAGCTGAACGTCAGAATTTGAAGGCTTTGTCCCATCCTGGTCATTCCACAGATATATAAACCCAAATTTCCTAGTTCCAACAGACCTCAAACCTCTGAGGATGCTTGCAATAGATGCAGGTGAAACATCAGGAGAGAATGCCTCTAGAACATGGCCATATAGCCCAAAAAAACCTACAACAACCCATTCAAACATTTTCTTTTTAATAAAGTTATTTAAAAACAAGGGAAACCCAGTTATAATGTAAATGACAAATCAGTAAAGTGCAAACAAACCAACAGGACACCAGAGCAGTAAATTAGAAGCGTCACTGATGCTCTTACAAGAGGTAAGAAGACTTCCCTTTAAAGCAAATGGGAACAAAGAGACAGAGCTCTGGCCAACAAATATAGATGTCAACTAGGCCTGGGTAACAACGGAAAAATTTGTTTCTAAAATCGATTCGTTTTTTGGGGGTTTTTGCGTTTCGATATTTAAAAGAATTCCGAAATTTTTCTTTTAAAAAGTTCGATATTTACGAAATTTCGTAAATGTTAAAAATTTACGAAACATTAACGAAACAAATACAAAACAATAACGAATCGATTTGTTAATGGCGGACGCGACCGCGCAATACGCTAAAAAACCTCCAAATGGAACAGGGGGAACTTCTGAAGCTTCCCTCTCCCTCTGTTGTTGACTGTTGGTGTGATATTATAATTTTTTTTCACTAATTAAACAAAAAACAACTATAAAACTTGCCCCAGACATGCGGAAATAATAACGAAACGACCTCAAACCGATAACGAAACGAATACATAACGAATCCGAAGCATTTACGAAACGAATTTAAAAATTCGTTTCGTTTTTAAGTTGCTCCAGAATGGTTCATAATCACTTCGTTATATAAAAAAATAACGAATTTTTACCGAATTACGAATTAACGAAACGAAACCGCCCAGCCCTAGTGTCAACAATAAGAAAAAGGAAGGATAATCTGAGGAATGAACTGCTACAAAGAGATGCTAACCATTGCTTTAATGAAGGCAGCTGAACTTTTACATCACAAAGGAGGATATATTTAAACAGCCTTATTTCCACTTTAGTTTCCTTTTTCTATACAAATGTTTTTTACTGTATTGTGCTTGTAACTCAACTAACTATATAAGAAAATACAATGTAATATGTAAAAAATGAGTGGGGTTCAGATCTTCTGCTCATGGAATGGTTTCCAACCAATGTAAGCATTTGCTGGGAGAGAGAGGGATCTTTGCTAATATCCCCTTTCCAGTGCAATTCCCTGCATCACTCCCACAAAAACTTTTGAGGAAAATGGGAGAGAAAATATCAACAAAGTCACTTCTGTCCTCCTTCTGTCAACAGAAGTGCTCAATGAACTCATAAAACCCCAAGGAGACTTCAGATAATTCATTTCCAACCTTTTCATTACAGAAAAACTAAATATCCACAGTTGATTAATTTTCCCACAAAAGAATTGAATTACATAGAAGAAATAGATGGATTTTAGAGTTCACTGATAAAGAACACCAGAAGAAGGAAGCTTACCTTCAGCAGTTGTTCAATAACTTGAATATGACATTTCTGATTATCCCTTTGTCCTGACAGTAAGAAAGCAGACAGTATATGTATTCGTTTTTTGATGCAAGAGTCGGGAAATCAGGATATATCTGTTCCCACTTCTGTCTAGTACCAGGTCAGATCATATGACTGAAATGGACTTAGTCACTCTGACAACCTACTCCAGATGAATGATGAGGGAGTCCACACACTTGGTGATAGTGCTTGAGATAAGTGGAAGCCACTACAGTAGTCCAGCATGGTATCAAAAACACTGGAAGACAAAGATCAACAATGAGAAGAATCAAGGATGCTTCCACAAATATTCCCACCACAACCAGTGGTTCCTGAGTTTTACTTTATTCATTTTATCTCCCCATTAGTCGCCATAATCTTTGATTAACTGCTGCCCCCAAGGCATTGTATCTGAACTCAAGCTTTCCAATATTCCTTATGTAATCTCAAAAGTATAATTATTAAAATTTTTTAAAAAATGGACACTTCTATCCTGACTGCTACTACTGTAGTTCAAATCTCTCTCTCACTGATATCCTAATTCTGATCCTGACTAACGAATCTTTCTGACTCTCCTAACCACTCTAGCTCCTATCCAAACTCTGTCATACTCTTAATCCTAACCTTGACAGACTTAACATACACCAGCTAACATTCAGTCAATCACCAGTCATTTCCAATATCCCATACTCTCATCCCCACATATCCTAATATTATTATATCTATTATGTCTTATCAGATTTTACTATAATTTAGCTAATAAATGCTACAACATATCATCTCAAAAGTCCATAACATGACAGCCAGCTCCATCAGAAGGGACTAGAGGGCACTGTCTTACAGTGGTTCTGCTATTTATGGGGCTGGTTCCAGAGAAGCATTGGGAAATTTCTGCTGTATAATGCTATAGGATTTCATCCTATATCTCTTCAATATCTATATGAAGCAACTGGGATAGGTCATAAGGTGGTAGGGCAGCGATTCTCAACCTGTGGGTCCCCAGGTGATTTGGCCTACAACTTCCAGAAATCCCAGCCAGTTTATCAGCTGTTATGATTTCTGGAAGTTGAAGGTCAAAACATGTGGGGACCCACAGGTTGAAAACCACTGTGGTAGGGGTGGGATGCCATCAGTATGTTGATGACATCCAGATCTAATTCATGCTGGGTTCATTACACATTTAAACTGCTTTAGTCTTTCTTTTGCTATATAATTTGCTTTTAGCATTTTAAAACCATTTTATTAATATTGTTTATAAATTTATTAGATTGATTTTAGTGTACACCACACTTGAGTTCTTCGGGTAAAAGAAAGAATATAAATACTTTAATTAAATAAAATTCAAAACACACATATTATAGGAATACAAACCACTATTATAGAAGTTCACATCATTGGTACAGAATTGAAAGTTAATCAACTTGATTTGCACAACGGGAAACATTTCATTAATATTCTAAGAACCTTTGTGAGTGTCAACAAGCATATTGTGTTGTAGTACAGCATGATAGTGACGTTACTACTATTGGTAGAAGGGAGAAGAGGGCTGCGCAGGTGTTGGAGTTTGTGCTAGAGGAACTGAGTTAAGTGTCTCTAAGCCTTTTTTGTGTTTAATAAACCTTTGTTTGGACCTTTTATACTGTGTTTGGCATTCTTGAGGCTTCTGGGTCTTGACATATTCATTGACAATACATGCATTTATTGCAAGAAGACATCAAAACAAAATGTAGTAATAATATCACATCTGTATTATGTCTTCCTTTCCAAACTCCACCATAAGTTTCCATGCGTATGGAAGAAATTCCCTTCCACCAATGGTGCAACAGGCCCCCTTTCCACTCTCTTGCAGGCAAAGATATTTAATTTAGGTAGAACTTTGGTTCTTAAATGGTGCGACAGAAAAGTTTTTTTCAATGCAATGTTGTGTTCTGGGTTTCTGTTCTTTTAATTTTGTCCTAAACCGTTTTAGCTATGTGCTTATTTAACAGATTTTTATTTATGCAATGCCTTTGACATGAAACAAATAAAAACAGAGTTGCAAGTTTAGCTATTTTTAATGTTTGGAAATAAGATTTCGGATGAACTTTGTTTAAAATGGTTGTAAGCTGCTTTGGATCCCACACATGGGGAAATGAGGGATTTAAACAAAATAAATAGTTGCTTCACTTTAGTTTTATGTGGCACCAATTACGTCAGTCACACTTGACTTATGCTGCCATTCTTTCTGCAAGGTGTTGGCACGGACAGGCAACAGATGCGTACTGAAATGGAACTGTGACTTCAACAATGCAACAACGGGCAATAGATCAGTAAGCAACAGCTCATTAACATTAGAGGAAGTAAGTAGACTGCTGCCCACAGTTTTTCAGTTTAATATTAAACTACTGTGGCTTAACCAGTACCACACATAATTACATGCTACTGTCTGAAAGGTACAGTTATCTAGATCAAAGTATCTGGCGTATCATGCATATTTAATACAGCTAGGAATGGAATGTTCAACAAGTATATAATGTAGTTTACAAAAACTGTCTTTCAATGTCATACTTGGGTTATATGTGGTCTTCTTCCTACAGCGCAACTTTCAATGTTTTATTCCTTTTTTAAAGAAGAATGTCACTCACAACACCACAACTTCATAAACCTGCTCTTTTTTAAAGGTACACACCATTATTTGCCGGTAATGCGCTACTCCATTCTGCATAGGGCAAACTGATAAGACATCAATCATGCAATAGTATAAATGGAAGCAGATATGACAACAGAAAACACAATATCCAAAACATGGTGGCAAATGATTTAGGTTCCCATTATACTATATCTCTGACCTCAAATTCTAGGAAAAAAAAGAATTTCAATGAGAGATTCAAGCTGAAATAGCTGAAGATTTCATCACCAGATAAAGTTATATAGTCTGTGGCTTAAAATTGTTTAAAAATCACTTTACAACTAATTAATGCAAAAATTAATTAGAGTATTAATGAACAATGTTTGTAATTTTTGCATTTCATTTCGATCTGACCCCATACATACAAACAGTCAGGTGGGTATATAATAATCTGCCAACTGAGGCATAATGTCATGTATATGATGATGTATACTACAGTACTACAAGGCCCTTCAAAAACAATGCATGAGGGCCAATATGAAAAATCCCTGGGAGTTAAAGGCCCCTCTACACTGCCACATAAAATCCAGATTATGTGCTTTGAAATGATATGACAGTGTAGACTCATAGAATCCAGTTCAAAACAGGGAGTGTAGATTATCTGATTTGATAAACTGGATTATATGGCAACATAGAAGGGGTCAAACTGGACAAAAAAGAAAAGAGTAAGAGTAAGAGAAAGAGTAAGAGAGAGAGAGAGAGAGAGAGATAATGTGAAACAATTCAGTGTAAATGTGGAAACTTTTTTTAAAAAAAGTATCCTGCAGGTTAGGGATTAATGATGTTGTATTTGGAATGATAGAGATATCTTTTAACAATGCAGCCTATTTAATGTTGAAATATTTATTTGCTTTTGTTCCATATACACTAAGCTATCAATAATTGAAATGAATGTTTTGCCAAACTGCTTGTCCTTTTAAAATCTAGTCATGAATCAGGGTCCATTCTTGACTTAGAAAGCTGGTTTGTTTGTTTTCAGTAAGCCAAGATCCCACATTTGGATGGCAAACAAAATAAACCAGTTCTGGTTCCTTTAACCTGGGGTAGGCATTGCATGGTCTGAAGACAGTGTGCATTCCAGAGTCTCTGGCAGTGCTTAAATTCTTGAAAACATGGCAAGACATAATAATCCCACAAACGAACATTACATTTTTATTTATATAGACTAGCCGTACCCTGCCATGTGTTGCTGTGGCCCAGTCTGTGTATGTGCTTTGTGTGTGTATATATGTGTGTGTATATGTATACATATGTGTGTTTTGTGCATGCGTTGTAATGTATTTTAATATTTTGTTTGGCTTTTTTAAGTCTCTTCTGCTGTGTTTTTCAGTGTTTTTATGAGTGATGATCACTCGTTGGCCTGATAGGTGTATTGTGTCCAAATTTGGTGTCAATTTCTGCAGTGATTTTTGAGTTATGTTAATCTCACAAACGAACATTACATTTTTATTTATATAGACTAACCGTTTCCTGCCACGCATTGCTGTGGCCCAGTCTGTGTATATGTGGTTTTTTTGTGTGTATAAATGTGTATATATGTGGTTTTGCACATGCGTTGTAATGTATTTTTAATTTTTGGCTTTTTAAGTCTTTTCCACAGGCCCCTACCTTGGCAGTCTTTAGGAAGAACTTGAAGACCTGGTTGTTCCGATGTGCCTTTCCAGAATAGGAAAACTCCAGTAACATGTCCCAGAAGCACTTTATTAGAGTTTAAGATTGCCCGCACACTGCACTTACCCTAAAATCCGATATACCACCTGTCACATCAGCACTTTTAACCTGTACCCATTACATTGGCCCGGCCCTGTTTTTCGTGTTTTTGTTGTATTGTTTTATTGTTTTGTTGTTTGATATTGCTTTAATTGCTTTGATTTGCTTTAAGTTGTGTATTTTTGTTATGCTATGTTTTTATTGATGCCTTGGCCTGTGTAAGCCGCATCGAGACCTTCGGGAGATGCTAGCGGGGTACAAATAAAGTTAATAATAATAATAATAATAATAATTTTTCATTGTTTTTATGAGTGATGGTCACTCATTGGCCTGATAGGTGTATTGTGTCCAAATGTGGTGTCAATTTGTGCTGTGTTTTTTGAGTTATGTTAATCCCACAAACAAACATTACATTTTTAATGTATTGTCGAAGGCTTTCATGGCTGGAATCACTCAGTTCTTGTGGGTTTTTTCGGGCTATATGGCCATGTTCTAGAGGCATTTCTCCTGACGTTTCGCCTGCATCTATGGCAAGCATCCTCAGAGGTGAGGTCTGCTGGAGCTGGGAAAAAGGGGTTTATATATCTGTGGAATGACCAGGGTAAGACAAAGAGCTTTTGTAAGTTGGGCTAGGTGTGAATCTTTCAACTGACCACCTTCATTAGCATACAATGGGCTGACTGTGCCTGGAGCAAACTCTTCTTGAAAGGTGATTAGATGTCCCTGCCTGTTTTTCTCTCTGCTGTTTTTGCTGTTGCAATTTTAGAATTTTTTAATACTGGTAGCCAGATTTTGTTCATTTTCATGGTTTCTTCCTTTCTGTTGAAATTGTCCACGTTTGTGGATTTCAATGGCTTCTCTGTGTAGTCTGACATGGTGGTTGTGAGAGTGGTCCAGCATTTTTGTGTTCTCAAATAAAATGCTGTGTCCAGGTTAGTTCATCAGGTGCTCTGCTATGGCTGATTTCTCTGGTTGGAGTAGTCTGCAGTGCCTTTCGTGTTCCTGGATTCTTGTTTGGGCGCTGCGTTTACATATTTATTTATATAGATTAAGACTCAGGAGAATAAGATCATTAGAGATGCATCTAAACCAGGCATGGGCAAACTTTGGCCTTCCAGATGTTTTGGACTTCAACTCTCACAATTCTTAACAGCAGGCTGTTCAGAATTGTGGGAGTTGAAATCCAAAACATCTGGAGGGCCTAAGTTTTCCCATGCCTGATCTACACAGCAGCATTACTGCAATTTGGGGGGTTGTCGTTTTGTGAGGCATCATCACTCTTTGGCAGAGAAAGTCTTGTAAAACCACAACTTCCAGGATGCCATCGCTCTGAGCCAGAGCAGTTAAAAGTGGGGTGTCAAACTGAAGTAATTCTAAGTGTAGATGCACCCTGAGTTCAACAGGACCAACACCTATGGGGTTGCCCCCTTCCCCTCTTGAGTAGAGCTAGTAGAAATGTGCTCTTCTGCGGGGCTCCCCCTGGAGCCCTATGAGCCCTCACTTCCTCATGAAGTCCATCGAAAACAAGGCGCCCTCCTGAGTCAAGTATCCCTTTGCGACGCCAGGGAAGCGGGGTACGGTCGCCCTGGGCAACAGCTGCCCCAGTCCCGCCACTTACCTGCCTTGACGCCTCAGCCGACGAAGCCCAGCTCCCTGTTACTACTCCTGAGAGGAGGACGGAACGGCAGCCGTTCTGTGCCATAGAGAGTCCTCCCGCCGGATAGAGCGTCGCCGAGCTTCCCCGCTCCGCCGTTGCCTTAGCAACGGAGAACCTTTCAAGGCCTGCTGCGACTACTTAGGCCTTATCATCCTCATGTGTTGCTCAATACCAGGCCTAGGCAAACTTTGGCCCTCCAGGCGTTTTGGACTCCAACTCCCACAATTCCTAACAGCCTGTGACTGTTAGGAATTGTGGGAGTTGGAGTTCAAAACGCCTGGAGGGCCAAAGTTTGCCTAGGCCTATCCTCTGAATATCCAATAAATAAATATGATGCAAGCTGTGCAAGGTCATTTGACAATTCACTAAAGACAGAGGCCCAACCTCTTCACCTGGAAATAACTGTCATTTAGGGCAGTATCCATTAAGAAGCATGCAATAGTTGCAAAACATTGCAGCCAGAAGTGTGTGTGTGGGGGGGGGGGGTTGTACATATGCTTTTTCTCCGATATAGGCAGTCCCCAAGTTACAAACATCTCCCAAACGCCTCATAGTTAAGAACAGGGGTGAGACAACAGGAAGTGCTGAATAAAATCCCACATTATCTGCTTTGAACTAAGGCTAAAACCCAGTGTTTTTAGCCTTATTATTTTATCTATATCTATATATATATAAATGCTCTGTGCATAATGAGTACCTTAAAAACAAAAGAACCAATGAACAAAATCACACCAAATTTGGCAACAAAACGTCTCACAATACAAGGAGTGACCATCACTCAAAAAATTATGATTTTGTCATTTGGGAGTTGTAGTTGCTGGGATTTATAATTCACCTACAATCAAAGAGCATTCTGAACTCCATTGATATCGAGCTCTTTTAGGGGGCCCCTCCAGGGAGGAGAGCCCAAGGACCGCACCAAAGAGAGTCCTGGATACCTTGGTGAGATTTTTCCGGAAGCCAATCCAAGAGCGCCAAAAATAATTAAAATCAAATAAGCTCACCAGGCGAAAGGAGTCCAGCGACCGAGGCGTTTATTTGCGATTCAGCTGAATGGATGCAATACAGGAATCATTCCACTGCAAAGCATGCAGCACAAGAGTTTCCAGGCATTTTTATACAGTGTAGAACAAAAGAAAGCAGTTTGAAAATCCCGCCCGCCCCCCTGTCAGCCGGCTTCACGCTGATTGGCTGAGGCTGGAACAGCTGGGAGGAGGTACTCCCGCCCTCCCCCGTCAGGAGCCAATGGGAGCGTTTCTCTGCCTCGGGAGGGCCAATGGGCGCCCTCAGCTCGCTTCCTGGGTTCTGACCAATCAGGAGCGAGGAGGCGGGACGGCCGCAGAACAAAGGGGAAAGATGATGGGATTTGGGATTTCCTGCCCGCTGGAATGCGGGCTATTGTCCAAGGCGGGAAGAGGGTGATGTTTGGCAAACAAAGGGCTTTCCTGTTCTTGATGAGTCTGGCAAGGAATTTGAATAGCTGGATCGATACCGGACCGCCCGGAGGATCAACAGTATCTGGGTGATTCAATCAGTCCTTTCTTTCCGGGGCTCTGCTGACCAAACCCTCCTTCGTTGGCCTTGCTCCGATGACGAAATCGGGGGGCCAGCAGCATTGTCCATGCAAAATGAGTCAATCAATGGGTGATTTGGGGGAAAGAGGCTTGGGCTCTTTCCCTCAGGCAGTTCCTGGTCAGGCTGGCCTTATGGGGTAAGGGGTCAAGGGGGTGAAGACACAGGGGAGTTCATTGAGGGATACATATTTCATATTTATAAAATACAGGCATCATCAATATACAGGCATTTCATGTATCCCAACCCACCACCCATCCCAACCTCAGTTCATTACATTAAGAAAATATTTTATTCATTTCATAAAGAAGAAAGCTAGAAGTCCCAAAAGTCCGGACGGAGGGGTTTGGATGCAGGGCCCAGCCTATGATTTAGGCTGGCCATCAGAAGATCAGTTCGTTTTATTAAACAGGAGCTGGAGCTGAAGGGGGAGCTACGTTCCACTGTCCCGTCCTTGGTGGAACTAGCGCTCCCAACCGGGGATCGGGCCTTCCCTGCCCGATCCCCACTTCTAAGGCTTCCCCTTGGGCAATCGTGGCGGATCGCAGGCGGCGGGAACCATGCTGGAGCGAGCAACGGCGATGGGAACGAAGCAAGCGGCAAAACCGGCGGAATTTTGACAATCAGCTGGTGACTCGGCCGAATTTAATGATTAAACAAAAACAATTATTTCACGAGTGCAGGAGTCCAAAATGAGAAAACCAAGATAGCAGTTAGTCTTAGAAGTTAGTGTAGAAAAATATAAAATTTGAACGGGCCCGATCCGCCATGTTGTTGTTTTGGCGGATAAGGGGGGCCAATAGGAAAATCTCCGTATCCGCGATTTGAACTAACGCAAATTCGGAGGCCTGGGGAGGCCGGGAAGGCGTCCCCAGTGAGCTCACGGTTCCCCGGAGCTCAGAAAAAGGTTTATTTTTGTGTTAGAAAAGTTTCAGGCAGTAAAGGACACAAAGTATCAAGCGGAAAGGATTCAAAGTTTCAAAACTTGAGTGTTTTATTGAGGGATTAGTTACAAAGAGAGGGAGAGGGGAAAGTGAAAGAAAGGCTTCATGCAGTCCTCTGCTTTGAGCTGCTGGCTGGGGCACATTTCATCAGTCGGACCCAACTTTGCTCTACGGAACTGCGGAACTCCCTGCTGCGGTTCAAACCAACTTGAAGGCGGGAGATTCTGCTACTTGGGGGGTCATCATTTTTGATGTGTAATGTAGTGGCAATTGTAGAGCATGACCAACAGAAAATACTGAAGGTTTGGTGGGCATTGACTTGAGTTTGGGAGTTGTAGTTCACCTACATCCAGAGATCACTGTGGACTAAAACAATGATGGATCTGGACCAAACTTGGCACAAATTCTCAATATGCCCAAATGTAAACACTGGTGGAGTTTGGGGAAAATAGACCTTGACATTTGGGAGTTGTAGTTGATGGGATTTATAGCTCACCTACAATCAAATAACATTCTGAACCCCACTAACCAGAAATGGGGCAAACTTCCCACACAGAACCCCCATGACCAATAGAAAATACTTAAGGCCATCCAATCCAACTCCCTTCACCTGGGCAAGAAAACGTAATCAAAGCCCTCCTGACAAAGAGCCATCCAGCCATAGATATAGATAGATATGATTCACACACACAGAGATATAGTATCATAGATTTGAAAGGGACCCCTAAAGAAGGACAATTATATGTTGCATGTTCCAGAGTAGGCAAACCAGACAATCCACATCAACACTGACAAAGAAACAGCTAGAAATACTGTTTACCCACAAGCATAAAGAAATTACATATATTAGAAACCAACACTTTCTCATTACTTTATTTTCCAGATCACCAGACTGGGCCACAGCAATGCATGGCAGGGGGCAGTATATGCGGTCTGCTCACTGTTCTGTTTATATTTATGAATGACTAGCTGCCCCCTGCCACGCGTTGCTATGTCTCAGTGTGCCGTTACACCCAGACATTATAAAAATACAACTAAGATGTGCTTCTCTCTATGTCTGCGGGTGTCTTTCTTTAGAAGCTTGACATATTCAGCAACTGAGGCTATTAAAGGTTTTGAAAATCCATAAAGGGATATTTATTCTTCAAAGTCCTTGTAGACTTGGCACAGTTTATTGAGGTTACAAACGAACAGTAAATAGTGAATCCACAGAGATATTCTTTCTTTCCCTTCTCCTCCAGTCACTGAGTTAACTTTTCCCCAGAAGGCAGAGAAGATCCTGGAATCTTTTCACCCTAACCCTAAACTTACTTTTTAGAAAGACCAGGTCTTTCCCTATCTATGCTCAAGGTTAGTTCTGGAGATAAAGCAATGAAGTCTCTCTATATATATCTATATAACTCAGTTTCTCAATAGGCTTCTCTATCTATAGTATCTCATTCCTCAATATCTATCTATAATATCTCAATCTTCAATTTCTCAATCAGCTATAACTCAATCACTCAATCAAGCTTAGCTATCTATAGTATCTTGTTGTTCATTCGTTCAGTCGTCTCCGACTCTTCGTGACCTCATGGACCAGCCCACGCCAGAGCTCCCTGTCGGCCGTCACCACCCCCAGTTCCTTCAAGGTCAGTCCAGTCACCTCAAGGATGCCATCCATCCATCTTGCCCTTGGTCGGCCCCTCTTCCTTTTGCCTTCCACTTTCCCCAGCATAATTGTCTTCTCTAGGCTTTGCTGTCTCCTCATGATGTGGCCAAAGTACTTCAGCTTTGTCTCTAGTATCCTTCCCTCCAATGAGCAGTCGGGCTTTATTTCCTGGAGGATGGACTGGTTGGATCTTCTCGCAGTCCAAGGCACTTTCAGCACTTTCCTCCAGCACCACAGTTCAAAAGCATCTATCTTCCTTCGCTCAGCCTTCCCTAGGGTCCAGCTCTCACATCCGTAGGTTACTACAGGGAATACCATGGCTTTGACTAGGCGGATCTTTGTTGCCAGTCTGATGTCTCTACTCTTTACTATTTTATCGAGACTGGACATTGCTCTCCTCCCAAGAAGTAAGTGTCTTCTGATTTCCTGGCTACAGTCTGCATCTGCAGTAATCTTTGCGCCTAGAAATACAAAGTCTGTCACGGCCTCCACATTTTCTCCCTCTATTTTCCAGTTGTCAATCATTCTTGTTGCCATAATCTTGGTTTTTTATGTTTAGCTGCAACCCGGCTTTTGCGCTTTCTTCTTTCACCTTGACTAGTATCTTACTAGTCTTAATATCTTAATAGTCTTAATAGTACTTACAATGATTTTCCCAGAGCTACCCTGACTAACCACCAGCACATCTGAAGTTCCTTCTCTAACTAAAAAGGCAGGGGAGATTCCAAAATGGAGATCTCTTCCCTGGGAAAAAGGGCGGTCTCTAAACACAAAAAGATACCTTCTAAGCCAATAGCTGCGAAAGGCCTGCAAACTGGCTTTCCGGCCTCTAAAACTGTTAACTTTCAGGACACTGCAGAGTTGCAACATCCCTGGGAAAAATGCAAGGGGGAGCAACTTCAAGCAACTGCAAGGTAATGCAAACCAGGCTCCTGGGAGATGGAACACTCAGTCTGGTGATTGCAAAATAAAGTAATA